TGTCCTCTGGCACAGAGAAATAACAATATAAGAAATTGGTATGTTGTTGTTGGTAGGTTCACCACTGTAGTCCTAAACTGACTGCTAATTGAAGTCTAGTTGTTGAAGGTCTTGGCAGTTTTATGGATAGGAGATTTGAAATGTGAGCAGTGCAAAGATGGAGTGAATGAATCTGTTTGCTTTTTTTATCTACTTTAAATAAAGTTTATGATATGCAATCAAATGTACACTGGTATTGAAATAGAGCCTCTTTATATGTAAATGTATTGAGGAACTTGCACAGGATCAATTAATCTTCATATTTAGCCTTCTCTGTCGTATGTCACAATGAGGATATGGCATACGATATACTGTTTACAGTAAATTACAGTGCACTTCATAATACACAGTTTCTACTTGTGTGAGTATACTCTCTATCTCCCTCCATCTTTTTGGTTTGTATATGGTTTTAGGATCCTGACAAGAATCAGACACCCAACATTGACTGAGTATCTCTGGTGGACTTGTGAGACTTTGCCAGATGTTTATAATTGCAAATAAAGAAAGTTCCTGAGTTGGTGTGCAGAGAGAATACAATGCTTTCAGTAATCAAAAAATGTGTTTATTATTGCATGTAGCTCTGACTTATGCCAATCTGTATCAGTGTTGATAACTGAAAGTTTACATGGAAAATGACAGTGTAGGTGTAGGTGTTGGCTGAACTTGAGCATTGATAACCCAGTGTAATATTTAACTGTGCCAGGAATATGACTACTTATGTTGTTTTCAGCCAGGAAAGGGAATTAATTTCCTTATTGTTGGGAAGGCTGAAAGTTTGACAAGAAAGTCTCACAGATATGTATGCTTAGCAGAAAGATTTTTGAGTGTGGAAGCTGAGGAAGGAATAGAGATGGAAGCAAGTTTTGATATAGAAGAAAAGAATTGCTGAGCCAGTCTTACTGGATAACCAAGGAGGCAAGGGGTATGTCAGTTAGAAGGGGTTTTTATGACTTAGAGCAAAGGATAAACCCACCTCAAACAAGAAGATGTTTTTACCAAGCAGAAAGATAGCACAGGCAAACAAGTCAGCAGATGTTGCAAGTAGAAAAAAGGTCTCAGAATTTTCCACTGCAAGAAAACTGAAAAACAACTTCTAGCTTAAACTGTAATGTACTAACTTCTGGTGATTGGAGAATAGTAACATGAATATGGTAATTATAGTAGTTATGATAGGCTGTAGATAAAAGTTAAGTTATAGATTGGTTCTACTGTATTAAGATGCTCAGCAAAGAAAAGTAAATAATGCATTTGTAACCTAAACTAAGAGTCTCCAGGCCTGCCTGCAGCTGCAACTGACAGCTGTAGGCACAGCTCTGTCGCTCACGACCCTGGACTGCTGTAACGTCTTGGATGTAATAAACTGCATTTTGAAGAGCCACCTGGAGTCCCACATCTCTCATTACAGCTCTTACGCCTTATAATATTTCTGCATCTCTCTGATTCCATCAGTGGAGATCTTTTCACTGATTTCAGTAGCCACTGAGTTTGGATCATTGTCTGTAGCAGAGTGGTTGACAAGCTAAAATAATCGGAAAAAGTACTTACTGAAGTTTTCCATTTCAGGGGCTTACAAGAAAAAAAAGAGAACTGTGAAGAAAATAATGGCCTTGTGTGGAATGTGTGGAGAAACAGGGTTTCCAGGCTTCATGGGCTGACGTTCTCTATCTTGTGTTAGGTCAGAGAGTGGGATGAGCATTATGGCTGTTCGAAAACCTTCCTGGGAATGATGTTGGCACAACAGTGCATGAGCCCTGAGCAGAATAGTCAACATCCCCTTTGGTTCTTCAAAAGTTGTTTGGTGGAAGCACCAATAAAATAATCTCTAAAAAGGAAACCTCTCCTGACAAGAGCTTTCACTGTATGACCTATTTGGCTTTTTTCATTAGTCACGTTTGAAATGCATCTTATCAAGAAATGGAATAAAATCTCATACTTTCCACTTCAAGGATGGAATTCTACAAAATTCTGTTAAATACATTAATGACAGTGGTGGTGATATTCCATTAGAAACAAGCAGTGAAAGTGCCCCTTAAGTTATATCCTCAGCATTTTAGATATGTTTTGGGGACTGTTCTTCAAAGCCCATTTTAATAATGCAGTATCCTCTCTTGAAAGTTTATATTTAAAGATGAATTCTCACAAGTTCATTGTGTTTGGCAAACTATTCTGAAAATAAAGCAGTCACAGAAATTGGTGAGGTGAACCTCCACATTGCCGGGAATAGTCTTTCTCCCCAGGGAGTGTTGGATTTTCCAAGGAAGATACATCTATCACCAGCAGACTTTCCTCAGCCCTCCCCCCGTACTTCAGCCTTCTGCATGGCTGCATGGTTGGGAATATTGCTTCATATTCTCAGATGGCTTTAATACACACATAGCAACAAAGAAGTAGGGAAAGGCTTAGGACCTAACATTGTTCAAGAGCCCTACAGTTATACAGAGGATGGCAAAGAGGACCTGGGGGGAGAAGGAAATGGGAATAGTCTGCTTACTTTGGCACGGAGTTCCCAGGAGGATATCTCCTTACACAGCAGTGTTTTAATAGGAAAGAGATTTTTCTTTGGATCCATCAGGAATTAGCTAACAGTTCAATTCTGCTAGGAAGTAATCTAGGCTTTCAGTATAGATTTGGTTTTGGTAATAGCTTAATCAATACTAAACAAGCATTCTGATTATCTAGTAACTACTAGAGATTTAGGGAGATCCCTTGTTAATATTTTTTCCCCCTTGGATGTTTTTTTTTTTTTTTCTTAGTCCCTGCAGTTGACAAACAAGGTTAAGGGATTCACCAATGAGGAAAATATTGAAATCACTGCAGGCTTTTTGTTCTTTCTCACTGTCTTAGACTATACGAGAGACTTCTTGTCCTCATATTCCCTTAGTTTTAGACAAGGTTTTGAGATCTTTGTTTTTTGTAGCTAAGGTCTGCCTTCCTGCAGACAAGATAAAAGATAATGTTGTTATTGTTCTGTGTCCCAGACCTTGTCACTCCCCTGAGCCTTCCCCCCTCCCTTTTCTTCTAACCAACATAATCTCCCATTTTTCATTTGGAGAATGACAGATTCAAGAGTATTATAGGAAATGCAATGGAGCAAAAGTTCTCACCAGAATTTTGCTGCTAATATTGTTGAACTAAACCTCTTTTGGTGTGGATATTAGTAAATTTCAGCAAATGAAACTTGAGGTGTTGTGAATATAGAGTATGCTACTTTGTTGCAGGCAGTGGTGAACATCTTTTTCTTTAACTCCTACAGCTGTATTTTCAATTTAGACCTTTGTGTTATTGTGCTTTGTTTCTCAGCTATGTAAATACATAATATGTGTGTACTTCTATCTTTTTACGGCTAAATCATGGTACAGGATCAGAATTTGGGTTTCGAGTTGCTTTTGCCTATATTGTATCAAGGAAATTCTACAAATGCGAAATACATGTGAGTCCGTGTGACACTGCAGCATTTGGGGCAAGAAAAGTGCTTGGATTCAGTTTCTTTTTAAAGACAGTTCCTCAGTACAAGAGATCTCTGGGTATGAGTGTTTTGAAGTCAAAAGAGATGGGACACAGAACATGCAATACAGTTGTGCTTAGCTGTTCTTGAGGATTTGAGGTGCTTTTCAAAGCAAGTTCCTCATCCTACATAGAGCAAGGTTTGTATTTTGTGAGGATCTTAGCTTAGTCATGACAGTAACTGAGGTGGTTTTTGTTTGCAAATCAGTATTTACACTTGGATATGTCCACCATGGTGGAAATAACACAAACATGATAATGGTAGTCCATACTCCAGTAGGCTAACGTTTAAAACCATGGCTTGATTGATCATATTGCTGTACATTGGAGCTTTACATGCTTATGTGAATAGCATGCAGATGAAACATGAATAAATGAAAAGTAGGCACATTTAGGAGACAGGTTGTTTTTATTACAATGCAACTGTGTACATACAATTTGCCTTAGTATGGAGAACATAATCATTATGCAGGAGCTACATAATCATTATGCAGGTCCAGTCTGATATTCATGTAGCAGAAAAGACCCTTGGGTGTTTTTCTTCTTTCAGTATATATGTGTACGTGTATGCATGGTGTTGTGTACCTCTGAGTGAAACTACAAGAAGTTCTTTTAGAAATGGATGGTCAGAAACTAAATTAAGCCAAACAAGGGAAATGTATCTGAGAACTGTTTCTTGGTAATAAAAAAATAAAAAAAAAAAAAACCAAAACAAAACAACAAGGAGTTGCCCAAACGAAAGAGGGTTGGAAAAGAGAGAAAAGAAGGAAGGAAACTGGAAAAGCAGCGGGGAAAAGGCGAGGGAGAGAGAGGGAGAGGAGACAGAGAGGAAAAGAGGACGTTGCCTCCTGCGAGTCAGGGGGAAGTGCCTGTGTCCAGGCGGCGGGCGATGTGGGCGCTGCCTGCCCGTGCAGGGGCTGGCTCTTAACGAGCCTGCGCAGCTCTCGGAGAGGCGCAGCTTCACGGGCGCGGCTCCCGCGGCGACGGCGCCAGACGCGCGGAGTAGGCGCTCCGACCGGAGGGTCAGGACCCTGGACAGGGTCGGAGCGAGCATCGCAGTGGGCTGCTCGATAGGAGCAACCGGGTTGAACGCGAGTAGCTGAGGCAAGGATGCGCGGGAGAAGCGGCAGGGCGATGATCAGGGACACAGAGAGGCAGGACAGGAGCGAGGGCGAGCAAGAGCCAGCGAGGGCAGAAGAGCCAAAAGGCAGGCTGGGGTCAGGGCAAAGGAGGGAGCGAGCAAACCAGCAAGGGCACAGCAGCGGGCAGCAGCGAGCCCCTCAGCAGGCTGTAGCCAAAGGTAAAAAGCAAGTCTCAAAAGCCCCCAGCCAAAAGACAAGTCCCTAGAAAGACACAAAAAGTGTAAACCCAAAAGCCCCCCAAAGCAAAAAGCAGTCTCCAAAGCCCCCCACTGCTCGTGGTGCAGTTACTTTTTATGCTGTCTGGCTCCTTCTAAGGTCTGCCTGCTGGCAGGAGACCATTGGCCCAGTCCAACCTTCCGTGGCAGTCCATTGGTGGAGACCTTTCATCGACTGATTGGAGAAGCCTCTCTGGGGAGTTCAGTGTCTCCTACTGACTGTCTCATGGGAGGAGGTGAAGTCCCATGTTGCCAGGTGAGTCCTCCCAGAGACAAGGCTTCTTCAAGTTGCCTCCTGCATGTGGCAGATGTGCAACCTCTCCCCCTTGTGCCCTTACAATCAGTGTTGAGATAAATCAAAGCTAAATTGGTTCCTCACACACAGATAAATAATTATGTTTAAATTAATTTAGGAAAAGTTCATGAAAATTCTTTGAAAAGAGTGGATGAAAGCACTGATTAAGGGTGTTGTAGAAGTGATGGGAATCTCTTGAAGTAAAATGAGCTTTGCTGTAAGTATGATTGAGCACTGCTTTGCTTTTCACACTCCTAATGAGCATGTGGTTTGCCTGGAAACCATGGCTAAAAGGCATGAAGCCACAGACAACTATTAAAATGTTTAGATTCCTAGCTTGTAAATATTGCATTTTTCACAGAATTGGAGTGAAATCCAGTCTTACGTTTCATGTTCATCCACTTCAAATCCATTGGGATGCAGCATTTGTGAAAGAATCAATTATCCATTTGTTAGTCAGGGGAGCTTTACAAATTATACATTAGCAGATTGATTTCTCAGGTTCACCATTGGGGGACTGATTGTATAAGGTGGGTTGATGATGAGTGTCAGGGGAGAAGGAGTTGCCACAAAGAACACAATTAAAAGAAGCTTTCTGAGTGGCCATGAATTTACTCCTAATTGAAGAGCTGACTTAATCCATAGTAAGAGCATTTATTTCAAGCATTTTACATTAGGTAATTGATTATCACATGAGGTACATTTGCTGCTAGATATTTGATTTTCCTTTCCTTTAAATTTAGGATTTTGCAAAAGTCTGCATTTAGATCTTTATGTGCAAGGTGTCTGCTAGCTTTCTCTCCTGCTACCTAAACTTCTGTTTCATCCATTAAGGTAACTTTTTTTTTTTTTTTTTGTTCTATAGTGTCAGCTTGACACTATTGATTTTGAACAGTCAAACTTACTTATGTTGTCCAGAATTCCAAACATGTCTCCATCAGAAAGAAAACTGCAGCTAATGGAAATTCAGTTGAAGGTATTTCTTCCTTCTTTGCTGGTACTTCAAAAGTGTATGAAATTCTGAAGTTCCCAGGTAAATAATTTAAGTGTATTTCCATTCCTAACTAACAGGATCCAATGTATTGCCAAATTTGAATTATGTTGCTTGAGAAATTCACTGTGTATTATTATCACTTATACAGCACTGGAAGTATCATTCTCATCACAAAGTAGTTGTGTATTTTTACTTGATTGGGCTAATGCTAGGGGTCCTGATTAGGTAAAAAAATATTATCCAATGTAGTGCTAATAAAATAATAAATAGTAGTTTTTTCAACATTTCATATGCAGGTGCCTCTGGTTTTATGGCATGAGATTTAAGTTTGATCATCGCTATTATGTGTTCTAAATTTTAGATTCTTTTACATGTTACAGGTTTTTTCCAACACACATTTAAAATACCTTTACAACAGTCAGGTTACCAAACCCCAGTGTGTATCATGGTTCCAACTGTATTAAATAATTAGTCCTTCAAATTATGATGAGTTAGTGACTACTTTTGTCTTCTCTAACCTTGAGTGATTCTTCATCTTTTGTAGACATGTAAAGGTAGATCGTGCAGGAGGGGCATTTATTCCTTTACTGTAAAATCCAAAGCCTGTTTTCTTTGGTCAGACAAATAAACTCATCAGTGGGTTAGCTGGACAAAGCTTTAAAAAAAAGAAAGGGAAAGGCAGTTTTAACTTCATGCCTGAGTTTATAACATTTAATAAAAAAATGAAAAATAAAAGCAAGGTGGGAGGGGGTGACCCACAATATTATTTGCGTTCCTCCTTTCTATAATATCAAAATTATCCACAGGGTGTTGGATGTAACTAAATGCAATTAATTTTGATGCAATTTAATTTAATTAACGCAATTAAATTTGAAATAGTAAAGTAAATTTGAAATAGTAAGTAACTTTGCTGACTGGCACAGAAGTATATTTAAACAAATGACGGTTATGAAAAGAAGAATTTGAGCTGATTCTGGAAGAAACACTTTGGTTTAGATAATACATGTACCAATTTTATCTGTGGTTTTTTCTTTCTGATTTCCGGGATAGGTTGAGATCTTGATTCTCAAACAGCTTTCCAGTGGAACATAGTTCTGGAAATCATAAGCTTGACTGTTATTTAACTCTGAACAAGAAGAGTCTGGTATTAGTGTTCTTCCTGAAACTTTATTTTAAAATGCGTGTAATATTCAACCTGGACTATCATGATCTATCATCATTTTCTGAGCTTCACAGAAAGTTCTGACTTGTAATGTCAGTGAACAGGGTAATAGTCAATGTGCTAGTTTGAATTGAGTACAGAAAAAAATTTAGTCTGTGTTTGCTTTGCCTTGTGTATGTCGTTTCCTGTCGAAACTTAGCTGGAGGTTTGTGTAAATGAGCAGGTCTCTTTTAGTTGAATTTAGTTGTTTTCCCTGATTGTCATCTGTGAATGGTACAGCCAGAAAAGAAAAAATAATAGGAGAAAGAAAAGGTAATAGCAACTGATGGAGGTGTTGGGTGTGCAGAAGGCTTGTAACAAATTGCTACTTATAATATATATGCTGTTATGAAATACTGTATCATCGAATTTCTGTTTAGAAATAGAACAAGTCCGGAAATATTGTGTGCTATTTTGAATGTGGGAAAAATGCAAATACTCTGGAGTCACCCTTGTGTTCTACTGACAACATTTTATAATTCTAGAATCACAGCATGTTAAGTGGTTAGAATGCAAAGATTACATAGTCCTGATCTCCCCTGCCATGGGCAGGGACTCCTTCCCCTAGACAAAGTTGCTCAAGGAGTTATTCAGCCTAGCTTTGAAGAGTATCAGGGTTGGGATATCCATAACCTCTCTGGGCAACCTGTTCAGTGTCTCACCACACTCACAGTATATAATTTCTTCCTAATATCTAACCTAAATTTCTCCTTTTTCATTTGTACTCATTACTCCCTGTCTTATCATTGCAGTTCTTGATGAAGGGTCCCTCTCCAAACTTTCTTGTAGGTCCCTTTCAGGTACTGGAAGTTGGCCATGAGGTCTCCATGCAACTTTCTTTTCTCCAGGCTGAGCAGCCTCAGCTTTCTCAGCCTGTCTTCATAAAGGAGGTACTTCAGTCCTCTTACAAACTTCATGACCCTCCTCTGGACTTGCTCCAACATTTTCATGTCCTCCTGATGTTGGAGACACCAGAACTGAATGCAGCACTCCAGCTGGGATCTTGCATGAGCAAAGTAGAGGGACAGAATCACCTCCTTTGACCTGCTGGCCACATTTCTTGTGATGCAATCCAGAACTTGATTGGCTTTCTGAGCTATGAGCACACACAGCTGGCTCGTGTGGAGTTTTTTATCACCTCTCACCCACAAGTCTTTCTCAGCAGGACTGCTCTCAATCACTTCTCTGCCCACCCCATTGGTATGTCTGGGATTGCAGTGACCCAGGTGTAGTGTTTGCAATGAAGAAAGATGTGGACTCCGTGAAATGGCCAAAGAATCCAAATTTATTGTGAAGTATAACTGCTTATGTACTTATTCTAGGAAGACTAGTAATGTTTTACTACCAGGATTGGGTTAATCATCACATAAACAAACTTATGCATTTTACAATATCTCTTGCATTTTACATCTCTTGCTTGTACAGTTTGATGTAATTTTCTTTTTCTGGTACGTCCATCTGATTTAATCTTCTTGCAATCTTGATTTAATCCTCAAAGTTCTGTTTGCTATTGTCAAGGCATCTTGTTGTCAAATCTCTTATGCTAACCAGGTCCAAAGTCCATAATCTGTCTTGTGTGTCCCAATAGTGTAGGACCTTTGCTTTGCACTTTGCTTTGTTGAACTTCATGAGGTTTGCTTCAGCCCATGTCTGTCAAGGTCCCTCTGGATGCCATTATCCCTTCCCTCCATCATGTCAACTGCACCACACAGACTGATGTCATCAGTGAACTTGCTGAGGGTGCACTTGGTCCCACTGTCCTTGTCACAAACAAGGATGTTGAACAGTATTGGTCCCAGTATGGACCCCTGAGGGACACCAATTACTGGTCTCCATGTGGACAATGAGCCATTAACCCAGACTGTGTGTGTGGCTGTCCAGCCAGTTCAGTATCCACCGAGTGGTCCATCCATCAAATCCCTGTCTCTCCCATGTGGAGACAAGAATGTCATGCAGGAGTATGAAACACTTCGCATTTAGTCCAGGTAGACAATATCACTTGCTCTGCCCCTGTCCACTAACACTGTAGCCCTGTCATAGAAGGTCACCAAATTTGTTAGGCATGATTTTCTCCTTGTAAAACCATTTTGGCTGTTACCAGTCATCTCTTTGTTGGCCAGGTACCTTAGCATGGTTTCCCGTAGACTCTGCTGTGTGACCTTGCCTAGCACAGAGCTGAAATTGACTGGTCAGTAGCTCCCCGTATACTTTTCCCTTTTTGAAAATGAGGATTATATTTCACTTTTTCCAGTCATCAAGGACTTCACCTAACACAATTTTTCAAAAATTATGGATAGTGTCTCAGCAACTTCATCTGCCAGCTCCCTCAGGACCCTCAGATGAACCTCGTTGGATTCCATGGACTTGTGCACGTTCAGGTTCCTTAGATGGTCTCAAACCTGATCCTCTCCTACAGGGGGCTCAGGATCTTCATCCTCACAGTCCCTGCGTCTGCCTTTCTTGACTTGGGTGGCGTGGCTGAAGCACTTGCCAGTGAAGACAGAGGCACAGAAGTCATTGAGAACCCCAGCCTCCTCTTCATCCAGGGTAGCCAGGTCTCCTATTTTCTTCCTACATCTTTTGTATCCCTAGTCTTTCTTTTGCTTGCCACATACCTGTAGAAGCCCTTCCTGTTATACTTGGTATCCTGCAGGAGAGGTTTTGCCTTGCTGAGCACTTGTTAGTTGCTTGAGTACAATGACACATTTAATTTCCAAAGTATTGCCATATGGCTTTCAATCCACATCACAACAGATAAATTCCATCATCCTGATCCTCGTTTTCAACGTTTATGTAAAGATGGCTTATGTAGTCCACTTTGCCTATTTTCTACACTTTATTTTTTCAGAATCAAACTTTATCAAAGCCATTTGACAGGAAAATAGGAATAGTGTGGACTGTAGGATTGAGCCGTCAGCTCCTCTGGTGTGTCTTGGTTTGTGTCATTTTGTCTTGGTTTTTGTTGCAGTAGTGTCTCCAACAAGGCCCATCGCACTGGAGTGCTGCCAGATCTGCTGTTGCTGGGATGTCTGCTGGTGGATGTAGGTGCTGGAGTGATGAGAAGAACATGACCAGTTGAACACTGTACTTTAGTTATGACCCTGTGCCAAGACAGTACTACTGAAGACAGACATTTTGTCTTTGCAATTGCAAAATAACAAATGAAGAGAAGAAACTTAGTGAGAAAGTTGTGGCAATGGCAACTTAGATGCAGCCCAGAACAAAAAAAACCCATGTCACTTCAGTGATAAACTCAGTTAAACTTTCTGTGCTTGTGCTTTCAGAAGGCCAGAGGTGTTCCTGGTAGTAGAGGGAATGATGCAGACATGCTAGCTTTTTCCCTCCCTAGAGAGAGGCATGCTAGCTTTTTTGCCCATCCCTAGAGAGAGGCAGTCTTCTCTTGCACTTTGATGAGCAAAACAGAAATTTAGAAAAGCATTTTTCAAGGCAAGGCAGGAATAAAAGTTTATGAAGATTTATGCTGTTTATGAAGATTCTAGAAAGTCAGACTGACAACTGATACATCTTGCCTTACTCAGCATCCTCCAGTCTTGGAATTAGCCAGTTGTGTGTGTAATATCTGAGAATAGAGCTTTTACAAGGATGTTGCCACAACATGAGGTTGATGGGCTTGATCTGTACTCCTCTGCTGATACAGGAACACAGCTGTGGAATGTGCACCAGCTGCCTGCACTGCTAGTCATGCACTGGTGTCTGATCTTGAAATGTAGCAACTCAGCATAACAAGTCTGTCGCAAACAAAAATACTTCTGGAGCACATAAGTCAAGGAAAATTGGTTTAAATTCCCAGTGAACTTCTTTGCAACACACCGTGGGAAGACCACTTTGTGTTAGGCAGCAATTGCAGTATTTCCAGGTGCCATTTCATGGTGAGACCAAGAATTACATATTCTGCACACAAGAAAGCAGGAAAGCAAAGGGGCAGTGTAATTTTCCCAACTCATCAGACAACTATGGCAGTGCAGTGTTCAGTTGTTGAATCAACCTTGATTATAAAAAAGCTTCTAGAAAATATTATTTGGGCATATGCTATTTTCAAAGTGGATGAGAGGAAAGCTTCCTTTCTCTGATTTGGAATTTGTTGTGTGTGTGAAAGATTATGGGGGGAAAAGGGTGTGAAAACATCTCGGTTTATCTGCTGTAGAATAGCCCATGTGGACAGTGTGTTTTTATGTACTTATTATGTACATTTAATACAATTCCAACTGCCATAGCATATATAAGGACCTGTGATACTTCATACACAGTTGTGTAGCATTTAATGTGGTCCTACAACTCCAGTGCTCTTCCAGTGACACTTTATTTTTACACAAACATATGATGGATTTCTTTTATCATGCTCAAAACCACAGGAGTGGTCTAAGTTGTGGTTCAATCCATTCAATTCAAACTTGTGGTTCAATCCATTCAATATTTTATGAGAATAAGAAAAGTGGTTCTTAAAAGTGTGAGAGACTTACTGTGTGAAGATCCTTCAGTGATTATTGTAATGATGAGCTATTTGTTATAGAGGGTGAAATCAGAATCACGGTACATAAGAAGTTTCTTGGTACATGAATATAATTGAATTGGTTTTTGTATGCAAGAAGATACGCATCAGAGTATCCAAATGATGTTATGAGTAAGTCCTCCATACCTCAGGGATGAGTAGCTGTTTAAGCTAAGTAAACAGTAGCAGATACTGTCTAACCCTGTAGGTTAGAACCAAAAGTATATTTGGATAGGGAAGGGAAGATTTATTAAATCAGGATGGTTTTCAGGCTTTTCTCTGTATTTGTCTGAGAACAAGTAAACCTATGTTGCAATTCAATACCTTCAATACCTTAAAAGTATTTTTTCCTTGTTTTCGTTCTCTAGAGCCCAGTGAAGATAAATCAGATCAGCCTGGATGAAAGTGGAGAACACATGGGTGTTTGCTCAGAAGATGGGAAGGTACAACAAATCTCTTTATATATTTGCTGAGGCAGCAGGTAGTCCTAGTATTATACTAGAATAATTGTGATAACCTGTGGAGTTGATTCCTGCATTGAGCACCACTACTTTGACCATACATTTTGAGAACTGAACCCACATTTGAATACTCAAAATTAAAGTCAAATATATTTTGCACAAATATGCTGTAGGAAAAGTAATTACAAGAATGTCAATAATGTAACTTCTATTAAGCTGATTAACAGCTGTGACAGGAGGACATGTCAACTTCATCATTACTGCTGTGCCAGTTATACTTCAGTGACTACTCTGCTGTTCCTGCAAGACAGTAGTTTAATGCCTTTCTGCTATAAATCAACAAAATTGGATTTTGTGGACATGATTTCTGTGCGCTGGTGCTTTTCATTTTCACACACTTTATGAATGTTTCTCTTGAATTACAGAATCTTTTGATAAACAATCATAGTTTATCAGAAGAGCAAAGTGTCTTACAACAGCCACATTAAATAAATGTAAAGTCAATATATGTACAGTTTCCTAAAAAACCTACTTCATTGGCTGAGGACATATATCATTTGTGTAGTGTATAAGTAGCAATTATCAGTGCTTCGCTGGAATGTTGAGCTGTAACATTTAGTGGTTTTGGTGATTGATTTTCCAGTTGTAAGAATGTCTTCTTGTTTTTTCAGTGGATGACAGTATTTTCTAATGTTGGTTTGCAATGATAAAATTCTAATGCACAGAGTGTATTTAAGCTTCTTTTTTAATACACTGCCCATATACCAATGCAGTGTATTAAAATAATTTCCCAATATCCAGCTTACTTCTCAGGAGAACATTCCTTACACAGTAGACTTCGGGGAGGAAGAGTGTTGGTAATCCTAATGTTGCATTCAGTTGAAGTTCTTTAAATTAAAATACAGCTGGAATTTGCAATAGGAAAAATGGGGAAACAACCTCTTTAGACTGTATGCATTTGGGTTTTTTCCTTCCAAACAGAGTTTTTTGTCCCTCAACAGGCAGGCAGCCAGTTGGTGTATCCAGGCCTTTTATTTCTGAGATATATCTTGATGTCAGTATCTTGGCACAGTAATTAGGATACTAGTACCTATCAAAGCAGTTAGAGAATTTTACATCTCATGTGAAACACCACAAGAGTATCCTATTTGTCTAAGCAAGATAAGGCAAGGGTCAGTAATTGTGCAAGCTAATAAAAATGTTGAGCTAGCATTGTTGGTTTAGGTTTTCCTATGGTGTTGGGGAGCAAGCACTTACTGTAAGGGCTCCTCAGATGTGACTGTGGATGACTGTCAGTAATCCACTATGCTGCGGTGAGACTGCAAGCCATACACATTTTTTTTCGTATACTAAGCTAATATTAAATATACTTATTTAATTTCAGAAATACTGAAAACCCCATAATCACTACTCTGGTGTGGTTCTATTTGAAAGGACTTAGATACTTTAAATGGTTACTCTGTCTTCATTTATTGAAATAGCAGTTGTGGATCCAGTGTATGACATTACATACTATACAAGGCAGTCTAAAATACAGTCCCACAGCCACAGGGAAGGAGTATCACAGGTACAATATTCAGTATATTTGCATTCATAGAGTCCAATTGATGCTTCACCATGTTCTACACTTGTGAAAAACTCATCTGGAGATTTAAAAGATCTGGGTATTTTAGAAATCAGATTTTCCACATGATCCAGAAAGGCTCATGACGGTGAAATAATCCACCCCTAAAATTTATTAAAATAGTTTTATGTTGTGCTACTGTATAAGAAAATGGCAGATTCTTGGCCAGATAATGTAGCACTTACAGATTCTGGTCGTAACAAAAGTGTAAGTTTCATTCCTTACAGCTCTTACCTTACTGCAGTGGGAGTGTTGATATTGTAAGCAGTTAAAATACTTGTGCAAGTAGTTACAAAGTTTTTATTAACTTGATTAAGTATGTAAAAGTGGTGAAATCCTTTTTTTAAAAAAATAAGGGGAGAGGGGGGAAAAACAGTGAAGCAGTACAGTAAAACACTTTAGGTTTTTTTAATCAGTTTTAAACAAAAAAGCAGATGTAATGAAGAGACCTGGGAATTTTGAGTTAGCTGCAAGTATATTCTACCAATTAATGAAGATATGTTCTCTTTTGCTATAAGCAGAGCACATTTTCATGTATCAAAGTGGATCCAATATGATAGAGATGGAAACGATTTATTTTCTTCAGGAAGGCCTTATGATGAGAACCTCCACCTCCTCGTATCTGTTCTGCTGGCCTTTTATATTTACATATTTTATTTTACTACTTTTTTGTTTTCTGTCTCTCAAACTGGATTTGATCTAGTTGTACAGACTGGGGGGAGAGCACAGAAGCACAGTACAATTTTCTAAATCCTCTTCTTGACAGTCAGTGTCCACACCCAGTGTCAAAATCTGTTGCATGTATGTCATACATGTCTAACAAATTCTTTAGGAGCCACTTGCAGCTTTTCTGTACTATGCATTTGATTCTTTGAAAACCTTCCTTTCTAATGAAGTCAGCTGCAGCTGATCACCACTGGCATGTTAAGGGGCAGAAATCATAACCAGCACCAGCCCTCTAGTCTAGCTGCTGGATGTTAAAGTGTTAGGGTATAAGAGAATTTTGGTGCTCAGATAAATACAACAGGAAGCAGGCTGGCATCCTCAGAATTTTGGAGATTTATAGATTAGTTTTTTGTGTTAGTTTTGTATGTAGTTAATTGTATACTATCATGAAAAACCTGGATATGACTCCTGATTTTGCTAAAGCTTCCATGTCATTACATAAGAAGAGTGTAATTGGCACTCTTATTCTGGCTTGTAACTTTTTTATATGAAGAAATATAAATTATATTGAAAACCCATGTGCTTGCGTGTTTTAGTGTCATCTCTAATGCCTGTAATAACATTGATGTTAAGAATATCCATTAATTACATTGGTATTACATTAATAATTTTTCAAGAAATGTGACTTGTTTTCCTGCCTTTTGGTCACTGAAGGTTCCTTACTTTTTCCATATGTGGAAGCAAAGAAGCAGCTAAGTCCAGATGCACTGGAGTGGTGGGTTCTGGATATTTAAAATCAGACAGGACTAGCAAAATGTAGTGGAATCGTAAAATCCTTTTTCCAGCTGCCTAAGAGCGTCCTGAACAGAGTGGGCATGGAAAGTAAAAATAGATAAATCCAATATAGGTTTGTAATAGCAGAAGAATCACTTTCTTTCTGAAGAATATGAGACATTAAGAAGTAATAAACTGTTAGATGATGTCCCTAGAGTAAACATGATAACATCTATTTTTTGCAGAATTGTTTTTTCCTCTTAGCTCACTCCATGTTGTTATAATACTCCAAAAGAAATATCATATTGCCGTATTCAGTGATATATTAGGAAAACGTTGAAGGCACTGTCGCTAATTTTTATTAATTACTTTTAATTTGAGAGGGCTGTTTTGTAATATTTGAGGATTCTGCTTTCACGGAATTTGCAGTGTTAAGTTTTAACCATGTATTTTCTTTTTTTTTTCTCCTTTCTTTTTTCTGTCTTATTTTGTCTTTCCTCTATTTTTTACTTTGTGTAGGCTATTGTACTGAATATGATGTGCCAGCTGATGAAAACAAAAACCCAGAAAGCAAAATCCTCTAGACATCAGCCCAAAGGTTTTCTAGGCTTACAGCCAGGTCCAATTCAAATACAGCCCTTTAGCTGGCTTACATAATCACAGCTTTGTGATACGTCTCACAGTCTCCAAATATTGATTTTTCTAATCCATTGGAGCAGTAGCTCAGCCCTACACAGTGCATGCCAAAGTATTTTTAAAGTGTGTTGTTAGAGGCAGTATATTTGCTAATGAGTAATGGACTGAGCTGATAATGCTTAGGAGATGTATCCAGGAGACAAGCTTGAAAGGAAAATGAGGTGGTTGGAGATGCTTTTAACTTCACTGAGACTGCTGAACTTTGAGCCACTCTAAGGATGTCCTAGTTCCTTGTAGATGGCTTAGTTCCTCTTGTAGTTTCCATTAAGTTTAATATTTTTACTTTGTCTTCTTGACTGTCTGCAGGAATTTTGGGTGTTCTTGGGCTCTGAATTGATCTTTTTAGAGCAATTAAGCCTCACTTTTTGTGGCCCATTACTGATATTTACTGACTTTATTCTTCAGGTCTTTCTCTAAAGGGATTTATATTTTCTTGTTACTATTATTTTTTAAATTTTTCCCCCTGAAGGAATCATGATGGGAAGAAGGAAATAAAGTTAAAAGAACTTTTAGAACTTTTGAGTCCAATGCTGAACATGCAGAGCAGAGTTACTGAAGGGATTACATTTTCCAGAAAATTTTCTGGAAAATAATGAGAGCCTATCTGAGAGCATTCTTAAGTAGATTTGCTGTCAGATGCATTTCTTCACTGATCACTGCATGGGATGCTCTTTTTTTCTCCCTTTCTCCAGTGCTGTTCATCCCTCCTTGGATGAGTTTATTTCAACAACTTCTGACAGTGGGTGGAAACCTTTTAAAAACATAATGAAAAAGCAAACCATTTATTATTCGTTCTGGAAAACATAGTTAGTAAGTCAGTTACTAATCCCTGGCCATAAGTGTTCAGCCCCATTTTATTCCTAAATTCTGCAGGAACTAGGCGGTCAACTGTCTCATCTGACAGTAAAGAAAAGGAATATTGTTTATTGAATGGGGAGACATGAGTCCAAAAGAGGGCTGTACTTAAAATAATCGGGAGGTACCTTATTCTGTAGTCATATAATGTAATAATATTTCATTAACACTTGATATCTCTGTACCTGTTCTAAACTAAAGGCAAGGAAACATTTTAAAAATCTGTTAATTCTCTTGACAGTAGAAGCTTTTTTTTAATTCAATGTTGACGCTTCTACAGATGGATTGATTCTGATAGATATGATTGCCTATAGTTGTAACTCCTCTGCTGACTCTTAAATGTACTGATACCTTGGTATAAATGAGAATGGAGGAGTCTTCAGAGAAAGAATTTCCAATGATCATGGAATAAAACAAAGTAGCATTGTATGCACTGGGGAGGAGGAGAGAATGCCTAGAAATATATGGAGCTTGGATTTCAGGTTGGTTTTGCTTTATTGTCACAAGTTTTTTTTCTTATGTAAACCCTGTATTGCTTGGAGGCAAAAAAAATCCTAGTATTCTTTCTCAGAAAGGAAGAATTCTAAATTTATTTTCTCTTGAATGTTGTTCTATTGCTCTTACCATAGTTAGGTTGCTATCTCTTAAACAGATTTCATCAGCCTAAAGCAAAAGGAACTTATTGTTTTTACTGTGATTGTAACAAAAAAAAAAGGAGGAAAAATATTCATAAAAGTACTTCCCTACTGCTGCAAATATTAGAGAAGACACTGTAGAAGACCAAGCCATATTAGTTTGTCACGCTGCTCTTCTAAGTTCTTCTAAGCCTTCTGCTGTTTACATTTTTGTAATGGAGTTTCTCACGCACTTTTTAATGTAAATGATGATTGTTTTACATTCCTTCCTAGAGGAGGAGAAAATTGATGGACTGTTGGTTTGACCAGTGTCATTGGAGAGGTGGCAATTTCATCCTCCAATCCAGGGTCACTTTTGGAATTCTGTCGAGGTCAAGAAAAAAAACTACCTTCTTTTTACCTGGGAGGTTTCAGCATCGTTCATTTCATGTCCTATTGTGTCATCAATTAGCTCTGAATTGTTAAATGTGTCTTCCTTTAGGAAAAAAGATGTCACTGTTAGCATTCAGATAATCTTCTAGTTGTTAGGATTTTACTTTCAGAGTTAATTGTTCAGTGTAAATTAGGTAAATAATTTTGGCTTTTCAATGTACTTTTTCAGGTACAAGTGTTTGGATTATATTCAGCAGAAGAGTTCCATGAAACTTTTGACTGTCCTATTAAAGTAAGTGCTTGTTTTAATCTTTAGTAATTGTGGTGGTGTTGTCTTTAATAACAGAAAGGTCACATTCAATATAAATGAAAGAGAGGAATACCACTTCCTTACAATGTTATTCAAGTCACTAGGAAATAGTTTTCTATCCCAATAGCTTTTGATCTGGTTAGGTAGGAAGAAACCAATCTTGGTTTTGTAAGAGGTATTATTGAGTTCTTCAAATACAAAAGGAAAGTGAAAGAGAAATTGTCCTGTTTCAGGTGTTACCCGTCTCAACATATTTCTCTGTAGATTTGTGATACAAATTCTGAGGGTTCTGCTAAATGGGAGGTCAATATTTTGCAACCAGTTTATATCCATTAAACCTGCCTCAAAATAAGGCAATGGGCAGTGATACTGATGTGCCTTATCTGAAGGGAAAACTTGAGTTTAACTCTGCTTTAGAGAAGTGTGTCTGCCTGACTGTTGAAAAAAGGACATCTGTTAGGCATATGGGAAAATCCAGTGATTTTTAACAAGAAACATTTCTTGCAGGAGGAAAGGCGATGTGAGCAAATGTTTGCATTTTGCTGCTTGGAGTCTTCCATGTTGCAGCTGCTCTTTAGGGTGTGGGGGAAAGGAATGAGGCTGTTAAGTTTTCACACATGCCAGATGTGACTCACTTGCCTCCTAGGGCCTTTATTGCTCGTACAGCTGGATCTACACACTTGACATTTTTACACATAAGGCAAAGAGACTATAAGATGCTATACAATGTTGTCCTCTAACAGGGCTGAGGTGTGTGTGCCCTTCAGGCAGGCCCCAGACCAGATTTAACTGGGGTAGCTCTTGCTCACAGCAGTCCTGATTGTTCCTAATTGGAATCCTGTTCTGATTGGTCCTAATTCTGCAGCCTGCTATACAGAAAAGTAGCTATTCAGTGTAACACGGCACTCAGTATCACGCTTGTCATACAACATATAATATGAAGAATTATCTTTTAAGGAAAACAACCAAGTGTCTGAAACAACTAGGCTTTACTTCAGAGAAAGAACTCAGCTGTAATACTTGATAATTGACAAAGGGTTGTCTAGTTTAAAGAGTGATGTGGTGCTTCATGTAAATTCTTACTTAAGCCACGATCCTCTCTTTCCCTCTTCCCCCACCATCCCCAGATTGTTGCTGTTCATCCTCAGTTTGTAAGATCCCACTTCAAGCAATTTGTAACAGGCGGAAAAAAGGTAAGCATTCATAATGAACTTTGGCTGTCTTTAAATAGCCCTTTGATATAGCTTGGAAGGATATGTATGTGACTTTTAACACCTAGAACAAAGACTTCCGCTTTTTCCTTCTCTTTACACATTGTATTCTAAAGCATTGTTAATTAAAAGTGATTTCAGGGGAGAAAGTGCAAGTTTTATGTTAAGAACATGTTGCAACAAGTTGAGATTCAGAGTAGAAATACCTTTCTGTCTAGATAGTCTGAAAAAAAAGTAATTTATGTGTCCTGGGCCATATTTTCTCCATATTAATTTGTTGAAGTGGGAGCAGAAGTTAGACCTTAAAACTCGTCTTTTACATGTTGATTTTGGGTTGCCTGTGGGTGATTTTTTGGGATGGTTTTGTTTGTTTGTTTGGGGTTTTATTTTAAGGAAAAAAACCCAAGTATCTTAATCAGCTCTTCTCCATGGTGAGGGCTTTTGCTGGTTATTTTAAAATGAACTAAGGGGAGTTCTTGGTATAGTAGAGCTCACCCCATTACAAGCACTTACATCTCTAGGTAGTCTTCTATTTGGATTCAGCTGGAGTTTTAAATGTGCATTAAGCGTCTTATTAGTGTAGGATACAATTCTGACTTCCAGATTGGAGGTGTTTCCAGGTCCCACAAGTATCTTATATCACATTGCATATTTTCAGTCAAAATATGAAAAGTTTTATTTGGAACAATTTCTTGAATGCATGGAATTTTATATTCCCTTCTGTTAAGAATTAAGGGTGAGCAATTCTCACAGGTGCATCAAACCAAATGCCATTGCACTCTCTTACCAGCACATAAAAACTACAGGCTTCTGGTGCTGAATACATCTTAATTTTCATTAACAGTTCAGTAATATATTTCAAAGCATAGCTGTGCTTTACTTATTTAAGTGGTGTGTGTTCTTGACAGATTTTTCTGGCTGGTAGAAGTTGGTGTTGTCCTTAAAATAATGCATAGTCAGTGTGTGTCTGTGTCAGCCACCAGTTTGTGAAGCTCTTTAGTGCTGATAAAAGGGGCATGGAAGGAGAGAAGCAAGGAATTAATAGAACAGGGCTCCGCCAGGTGGTAAAAGATCTTGCATTCACCTGATGCTGAACAGAAAAAAATATCAGGGAGTTAACACATTCTCTTTGGTTATCTTTGATTACTTGACAGGTTGTTTTATATTCTGTTCTCTGGGGAATGGTATACTCATTCTTAATACATTCATGCTTTGCTGAGGAACTTTCCTCCTCAGAAAAACTTTAATTGACATCTTAACATAAGGTACTTAGCATTGAAGCAAATGTCACTTGACATCTGTAATTTGATTTTATTGGTACAAAAAAAACAACAAATAAAGCCTTTAGCTTTGCAGTAGAAGCCTTTCCCTTTCTCTCCTTTCCTCCAAAAGGAGCATATGTACTTCTATAAAAGCAACTACAAAATGCTTTTTGAAAATTCAGGAAGCTAAATTCCACCTACTAATGAAGCTACTTTTTTTTTTTACTTTTTTTTTTTTTTTTTGGCTTTTTTGAACACTTACACCTCTCCTTAACTATAAAGCCAAAGTGTAGTATGGCAGGCAACAGGCAGCTGAACACAAGAGTGAGGAGAAGCAGGCTGAAGCATACAGCCTCAGGCTGTGGATCTCACCACTCTCTCCCTGTGTCTGGGGGATTGTGCAAAGCAAAGTTAAGCAACCAAGGTGAACTCCTTCAGGGAGGGAGACAGGTCTTCCTGTGGCTCCTGAGGTCTGTGCACTTCTAGCCTATGCATGTGTACAGTGACTTCATCCCTGGTAGCTGGCAGTGGTGGGAAGCATGTTGCCTGTTGTTCTCATCCACACCAAGGTAAGAGTAACAGTAAGAGTATCTTCATTGTTGAGCAAATGTAAAAGAAAAGCTTTGCTTAAAGCTCTAATGCTATGCTCCTTGCCTGAGGTACATTAAAAAACATAGTATGTATCATGTGAACTCTTAATCCAAAGGCTTTCTGGGTCTGTTTTTGTTTTTGCTTTCACTTTCTGGAAATGGTGGCATAATGTATGTAGGCATTTTTAAGTGGAGTGGGTTTTTTTGTTTGCTTTGCCTTTGTTTTTTAAGGAAAATATTCTTCATAACAATATAGAATGTGTAAAAAATACATTTTTCAGTTCAAAGATCCACTCAGGGCATCCTAGAAATGTTCAAGAAACAGAAGGGGGAAAAAGACCCTAGCGACATGCTTCAGGGATGCACAGTGCAGATCCTCGATTCCCTACACAGGTGGATGTCTGGAACTTAGGTGAATTGCTGTGTAATGCTGGGATTTGCTCCATCTTAGAAGCTCAGCCTGACCTAAAGCTGACTTAAGAGCAGTGCTCCCTGGGGTAACTGGGGTAATCACTGTGAGCTGTTGTAAGCTTAATTCTACTGTGCGTATGTTTATATGGTTGCTTGACTTTGCTTAAGTAGGCATATAGGGAAGCTTTTCTCTAAAATGTATTATGAACTAATTAAATTGTTTGCTTATTAAAGCATTAGTATTTAAAAGAAAACTTCTGTTAAACTTGAGATAATATTTTTGGGTTGGCAAAGCTTATTTCACCCGTTTTCCTAAGTGAATTAATATTATCTGTGCCTAGAAATAAGACAGGTACTGTGGAAATTGACACTATTGCAATGAGAAGCAATAGGTGCCATACTAAAAGAAGGTGCTACCTAATTCCCCTCCTCATCTCTGCAATTAACCACAGCACTGTTGTGCTGATTTGGCAGATGATGGTAACCGTGAAATAATAATACTATATATTGTAAGTAATAGGGCATTTCTGTCCAGAGCAGACAATAGAGCTTCAAAGCAAGGGAAAAGACAAATACTGTGCTATTGAAGGCCATAACCTTCTACCTTTTAAAAAAAGGCTCTAATCTCAAAAAATAACAGGGTAAAAGCCAACTAAATGAGGATGGTAAAGCTGAAAACAAGGTTTTCTTGATTTAACTCTTAGAGTGCTAGTCTTTCCTAATACATGAACTAAATAAACATTTTTGTGAAGTCCAAGTGTCCGTTGTATCATGAGGGTTACACAGACAGAACTAACAAAGAAAGAAGACTGAATATTATTTCAGATGCAAAGTCAAGGTATCAGCTACTGTGACTTATGTAAAGATAACATAAGTTGAGATTCCTCTCTTGGCAGAGACATCATCTCTATTAACACCAATAACTAGATACAAAGGTTTTTTTAGTGAAACACTTAGGAGAGTGAGTCCTCTGAAGTAATTGAGTCACTCTCCTGAATGTGTGCTAATGGAGGGGTTTTTTAAGGCTTCTCAACGCAGCATGGTAGTGGGGACCCAGCACAAATTAAGCAAATGTATTCTGAAGTATAGGAGTAGAATATACTGTATCATGAAGGACTGGGTCTCCTCATTTGCCTAGGACATACATTTTGTGTAATAAGTATTGATTTGCATATCCAGTCTGAAACATTTTAAGGGCTAGAGAACCAAAATAAAACTGATGTACCCTGTGACTGTCAACAGTGTTATCTCTCAATGTCTATCTGTGTCTATATCTACATAATATATTGACGGGTTTTTATATATATATATTTGTTGGAAATACATATATAAAAACCTTTTTAATAATGTCTGTGTTTCTTTTCCTGCAGAAGATATACTATAAGAACTGGTTTTCAAACACAGATGTGTCTGATCATGTTTGTCCCATTTATCCTCCCAGAATTAACATTTTAGCTTATCAATGCTTGTGTTTAAACATTAGACTCTTTTTTTCTTTTATAAAAGCAGGGAGAACTTAGTGTTACCTGAGGGAAATTTCTCATTAAAAAAAAGCCAAACAAAAAAACAGCCAAACAAAAAAACCTATTTCCGTGTCAGAATTCTGGACCCATGGTAACTCTTGCCTGAAATGCAAAACAAGACAATCTAAATTTCTTTCCACTCCAGGTGTAGCAACAACACACGCAGAGAAAGCATGGTGATTGCAAACAGTGCACAAGTGGGAAGAGAAAAGCATTGTTGGGGATCTGTGACTGCTGTTAAGGGTTGTGGAATTTCTATGTTAAAGTCAATCTGCCAAGGAATGTTTTAGATATTTTTTTTAATTGTTGCTTTTTAGTGTCAGCAGATGCACTTTGTGTGGTGAGTAAGCAGATGACCTTACCATTGAACCCTATGATATGTACTTTGTAATAACTGAAGTACTTTGACAAATTATTAAATTGTCAGGATGCTGTTTGCAGCACAGTCCATTTTTAGAAAGCAGATAGTCAGCTGTTTGGCATTATGTTGGGTAGAAGAGTACCAGACAAGAAAGGCAGATTGCTTTGTAAGCTATAAAATGTCACTCAGTAAATACTCAAAGGTCTGATTTAAGTGAAGAAGGAGTAAATACTGTGGCAATTTCTGTCCATGCATTGGATAATTTACCATAAGTAGGAAATAAACTGTAGCAGCAAGCAAACCACAATACTACTGGTCTGTTATTTCCTTGCTGCGATGCAAAATGCCCAGATGTATCCCATATTATTGAGCAGATGAGACTGTGATATGTAGTATGTCCTGTTTGCTTAATAAGCATTTTTTTTTTGCTCACATTTCTTCTTTATGGGTATCTGGATGAGCGTTTCTTCTTTATCGCTAAAACAAAAATTCTCCTTGTGCTGTAATAAATTTGGTTTGTGTAAAGCAAATGGGTCATAGTCCTATGTGCATGTAATCTATAGTTGTGTGCTTTACAAATGTCTGTGCAGAACCCTTTCTTTCATTGACTGAGGTGGCAAGTGAAGAGGATCTAAGTGTATGAACTGTGTCTCTGCGTGCAAGACGGTGGGATTTGCTTTTCAAGGTGTTAATTCTGTAGCTTTTTGTGAATAGGCATCAGCTGGAATGTGGCAGTTGAGTTATTAAAAGTGAAGCCTAATAAAAGTCCTGTGGCATTTGTTTCTATTAAATATCTCAAAATTTCTAGCTCCTCTGTCTGTGAACTACAGCAGTAGCTCCTGTCTCATCTCTCACTGTTGCCATCGCATACCTCCTGATGCTGCTGTGTGCCTCTGCTGCCTTGCTTGATTTCCCTTGGCTGCACTTGCTTCCCTCCTCTCTGTTCACACCCCAGCTCCCTACACAACATTTTATGACGAAATCTTGAAAGCTCATCTTCAGCTGAAAGCTTGAGGCTTACATTATTCTCTGCCTTGTTTGAGCTCATTCTGGTCCCATTGTCTGTTTCAAATACAAAGTATAATTTCTTATTGTTGCTGTATGTTTTCCTAGGGATGAACTATTAAACAGTAAGTCTTCATGAGGCTTGCTGTTCTGTGTTACTGTCTGGTATCTGTTAGTCTTGGCTATGCCTGTAAATATTTCTTTTATACTGAAAACAATAAATAGCTGTAGTGATCACGTGTAACCATGGAGATAGCATTTTAGATTTTTGTGGTCTTGGCTGGCTGAGGTGAAAGTGGTGACAGAGGCACCAAAACACAGGACAAATGCCAAAGGTAGGCTTATCTTCACACTTAGACAAAGAACAGGACAAGGAAATTACAGGGACTTCTTTTCAAATTTTCATTTTGTGAGATAAAAACTGATCCAACAGTTCTGCAGTAGGGAATGGAAAAGCCGCTCTTCAATTACAAAATTGACGTCTTTTTTTTCTTCACTTCACTAAAATTTCTTCAAATCTTTACACAGAAGGCACTGTGTTGAAACAAAGTAGTGATGCTAGGCATCATTAAAAGTGTGTTTCCTTTGAAATTTCTGTGAGAACAGACATCTTTTATTTCAGTATATTGAAGCTAGTAATTGGTAGTGAGAATAAATTAAATTGAATTACTTCACCATGTTGATACTTCCTAAATTGCAATCATTCACCTCTTTGTCAGAGGATTGGGAATTCCTGTACATAATTGAAGACCAGGATTATATGTAATTAGTGTTAATGCTAATTGCATGACAGGCTCCATTAAGTCCAAGCACACATCTACTCTCTTTCATGAATGCACTCTAAAATAGAGTTTTGAGCTTTTTTTGGTGTAGATTAATCTCCTGTTAGTAAAAGATATGGAGAGATGTATTCACTAATCCAAAATGTGTATTCTAATCCAACTATTTTTAAAACCAGAAAGTGTCCTGCTCCATCCTCTTGTCTCATACATTTCAGTGTGTCATTTTTCTTAATGATCTGGTGGACAATCATAAACAGCTAAGAGGACTCGCAAAATAATTAGTGAGCTAACAGAAGATTGCAATGTGCTGTGAAACAGTGTGGGTGGGGACCTTGAAGCTAAAGGTTATTTTATTTTGGCTGCATTATCAAATTGTGGTGCATGCAAGATACACTGGAAGAGTGTTCTAAGCACAACTGTATTGTATGTAACAAAGGACTAGAAAGTTTTATGAGAGCAAATGGAAAACAGGGAAAACAAACTCTATTGCAGAGAAGCCAAGAAAGTGGGATTTTGGCTGCTGTTGAAATATAAGTACTGTGAACGCTGACTACTATAATACAGGACTTATGGCAAATAAAATCTTAAAATATTTTTCCCCTACCAAAAAGAGAGGGAGGTGGTAGGAGGAGCGCCTCCAGAAACCATGGATTTCTTCTTACAAGTCTTTTGAAGTTTTAAATTACCTTCTGGTATGATCAGTATTTCAATGTGGAGACAGAAAGGAAGAATAAGAAAGAAATTAGGCTGTTTATTTTGAGAGATGCTTTCAGTAGACAGCAGTTCCAAAATCCATAGGAAAGTTCTGGATTCACAAATTCAATTTCCAGGTGTCATTGCTTTAAGAAATAATAAATAAATCACAGTATGTATATCAGCAGCATGCAGATAATTGCACTGAAGATAATTTAGTTAAGCATGTTTTGAGATTGCATTTTTTTTAAAGCCACAATGTGAACTGCCCTTTGGCCTCAGTGTTTGACCTATTTCAGTTGCTGATCTGAAGAGGGGAATGATAGGGTGTTTCAGTCATTCAATTTCCATCCTTATTATAGGTGATACCTGCCTGTTGTCTTCTACTGCCATGATCTGAAAGCTTGTGTTCTTAGGGTTGAGCATAGATGGAAGCAGGATTTTTCAAATCATCTTCATTCTTCACCAGTTCTTTCTCAGATCACTTACTTTTCCTTGCAGTTTGTTATTCAGAGTCATGAACAAGCATGATGTTCACAAAACATGAATAACAAAAAAAGATGCAGTGTCATACCAAGTTTGCTCTGGATTTTGAGTATAATAAATTAATTTAAATCACAATTCAGTCACAAACAGGATAAATTCCAAGTACAATTAATATAATTGACATCAGCTAGGTTTAGCCTTTCACATCATCCACATCACTTTTTTGAACTTTGTCCAGTAAGTCTCAATGCAAATACCGTGTATTTTGCTGCTGTCTTTATTGGATGGTATTGAAAGAAACATCCAAGCAGCAGTTCTTCTTCTGTCCAACTTCTCTTTAGGAAAAAAAGTAATTTTCAAGTCTGGATCAGCACAGCACTTAGTTTTTATGGCATCTTTAGTGTCTTGAGTGGAGATCATTCATATGGGCTGAGGGCTGCTCCTGTGCTTAACATCTACCTACCAGTCTTCTAATGGAAATCCCTCCATATAGCACTGACTTGTAGGTGCTTTCAGTGGCTTGCCCTGGTAGCTGTAAAAGAACATGTTCTGTGAGAGTTACTCAGTAGCCTTTTCACACGTGGGAAAAAAAATCTATACTGTCTAAAAGTTGGGCCTTCATGTGACCTATGTGAAGGACGCAAAATCACTTTGCTTGAACTAAAAGTTGACATCTGCAGTGCAATTCACACAAAAATTTCTCAATAGACTACCCTACCTAATGTTTGCTTTAAACTATTGGAGAAAACACTTATCTTCTGGTGCCATCTGGTGGCTTTAGGAGAGAGGTAGTCTGATAATTGCCATTAAAATGTCATATTTTGTGTAAAGATCTTATTTTAAACAACTAATGTCTTAACACTTGATGTATTTATCCAAATACAAGTGGCGGGAAACCATATATAGAAAAGTGCATACAGCTGGATCTTAGATAGGAAATGTTAGCAAGAAGAGTACTCCATTTGGGTTTTAGCATGGTAGAAATTCACTTTCCAGTGTGAGGTGTGAGCTCAGGAGCTTGGGTTCAGGCAGTGCATATGTTCGTATGCACAACCTGAACATATGTGTTCATATGTTCAGGTTGCGCATATGTTCGTACTCATGCAAAAGTTAGCAGGAGTGATACCTTAGAGTATGATCTTGGTAGATGCCTCAGCTTCTTACTTAGGTATCCCTCCAAGTGCTGCGCTTTGCTTCTCTCAGAGTAGTTCCATATAATCCTATTAAATAATTTAATGAGACATACAAAATCAGAATGTTCTGATTTGGAAGGGACCCACAAGGATCATTGAGTCCAGCTCTTAAGTGAATGGCCCATAACTGGATCGAACCTGCAACCTTGGCATTATTAGCACCATGCTTCAGCCAACCAATATGGGCTGTCTTTCTGTGCAGACTTTCTGCATGTAGAGTTTTTCTTTGCTGCTGAAAAGCATCTCATAACATCTCTTATACTTTTAGATATTCTAAAATACCTTCCTTTGTTGCAGAACCTGAGATTACCAGTCACACAAGTTTTACAATCAGCAGCACTTGTGGTATAGTGCAGTTTGCACATGTGGAACTAAACCACAGCATCTCTAGACCCCTGTGGGAGGCTGTGTAGTTCCACATGGAGCCAAGCAACAGGTCACAGGCTTGGGGATCTTTTAATTTTCTTTGAATACCTGTTTTTTTTGGAGGGAAGGAGCCTATAACAAGATTGGTGAATGTCAAGATCAGTGAATGTGAGATGATCTGATTTCTTTAACAACTTTCTGAATTGTTGTCACTAGTGCTGTAGACATAGGTTCTGAAATATCTTAAATTTCTTTGTCTTTAAAAAGTAAATAATTATACTTGCTGTTCTTTGGAGAAACTTGATGAAAGGCCTTCTTATTAATATTGTTTAAATTTAACAGGAATTCTGTAATATACAAGATGCTTGATGTAAATATATATAGCAAAATGTTTGATTGTATGTGCTTTTGTTTTGTGATAGGTGTGTATTTTTCATTCCCCTTAAATCCAAACAGAGATAAGGAAGAAAAAATAACTTCAATGTCTGCATACAGTACTCTGTCAAAGAAATATTTATTGTTGCATTTCTTCATAGTTGCTGTTATATGAAAGAGGTTGGATGAATAGATGGAAGCCTTCAGTTTTACATGAAGGGGAAGGAAATATAAGAAATATAAAATGGAGGGGGCACTTAATTGCTTGGGCTAATAATATGGTAAGTATTTTTCACCTCCATTACATATACAAGAAAATCTCTGTGTTACACTGATTATTGATATTTTTCAATGATAATTGCCAGAATATTCAGTTGAAAAACTGTGAATTGGTAGAATTGGGTATAAAAGGCATTGAAGGATAGTGGTTTATATGTAATTTCTTTTGAAATTCTTTCAACAGCAATTTCTTCTGTTGTTTTCTGCTGGTTAGTCAGGGTTCTCCAATATGATTGCCACTTCTGAAGAAATTAGGAAAGTAGCTCTACATACTGCTGTGGTGATCACTAATGTACACTATTATTAATTAGAATTTTGATTAGTGCAATTTATTGAAGCAAACTGAGGAAGGAATGCCTATGTAATTCTTCTCTATATAAATAATAGAACATCTCCACTCCCTTCCACCCCCTGAAAAAAAAAAATAAACTGTCTGGATTTTTTAATTTGTACTGAAATGACGTTGTCATATGCACTTTCAGTGTTGCCGGTTATAAAATAATACAGTAATAATTTCTCATTTTGTTAGGCACTAGAAGAAAGTTAGACTTAGAAGAAAATAGGCTCCTTTTGTTCTAAGTATAATTTTAAAGGAAACCTTTGCATTCCTTCTGAGTGTTGCATTTCACCTATCACTGGATATCTAATTGATGAGTTAAGCTCTATGTTTTGCAGCTCAGCAGTGAGGGATATGTTTTTAATATGTATCATGTCTAAATTCCAAAGTATTTTTTAAAATGTGTTGAAAGTATTTCTGAGACACTAGCTTTTTTTCTATTGTTTTTCCATAATAAAGGGAGGCATTTATTAAAGTATTTTAAAGCCGTTGTTCTTTTTTATATTTCAAAACCAGTTTGGTATGAAATTGTTAAAGCTGGACCTTTGTTTATTTGCTTCCCTTTAATAACTGTTAGAATGGAAGCTTCATTGAGGGCTTGACTGACATAACATTAGGTTATTTGAAGGTTTTGTTCTTTTCAGATCCATACAATTAAAATACATATTCTAGATATCTGCTGGAATGGATAGGACAAGAGCTATCCCTAGAGATGATGTGCCACAGCAGAACACAGAGTACTGATAAAACACTGAGAGCCATCTCTCAGAGACAAAAACCCATGGTCAGGGCCTATCTTTCAAAGAAAAATAAAATGACACTTTCCTTCCAAAAGATTAACATATTTGGTTATTGCCCTTTCTCTTCCCCTTTAACTTTTTAAACTCCATTCGCTAGCAAGGTTTTGTGTTACACTTTTTTTTTCCCAAATCAGAGAAAATGTTTATAGCCTTGTTTCCTACTGTGTGTGCATGGCTACCTAGTTTTCACATATAGGCAAGGTCTAATTCTGCTTTTCAGATGCATAGGTAACCCATGTTTTCTGCTTCTCCTTCCCTCTTCTCCTTCCTCCATGGCTAATAGTGCAAGTTTTACAAACTGAGACATCTGAGGGACAAATCCTTAGAGGCATTTGGCTGCTGGACTCCCATTTGGACAGGTTTTAGCTCATTCATGATGGGAAGTTGACTGTGGAAGGCCTTTCATGATGCAAATGGCATACCTGCTAGAGGAGAAGCCACTGCTCAAGCATTCTCACACCATTCAAGGAGTCAGATACACATCACCCCACACTTTTAACTTCAAGGACTAGAGTCCTTTTTCAGTGGGCAGCTCCAAAGAGCCAACCCTTTTGATTCCTTGCTCACTTCCTGTGCACCTGCTCACAGGCAGAGCATGGGAAATCACACAGCAAAAACTAAAACATCAGTGAGTCATAAACATTATTCTTACCGTAAATCCATAACTCAGCACTGTACCAGCTACTAAAAAGAAAATTAATTAATAATTAATTACCAGCCAAAAGCATATCTAGGTGTAAGTTCAGAGCTTAGCACCCAAGACTTCAAAAAAAATCCAGCTACTTATGCTAAGCAAGTAAACCTGTGCAAGCAACATGCTATATCACACGATATTATAACTGTAAATAACTTACTCTTATGTAAAACTTATTATATTAAACAACTGTCTCTCAACACTTATAACCAAAGAATATCCTACACTGTTAGTTTGAAAGCTACTTCAAACAGGAGCTGGTCTATCCCATATAAGATTTGCTGCCATGTAGAAAAACAGAGGGTGTGGTATGGGTCACTGAAAATCATCCTTGGAGACAAAGTAATAAGATTTATAAAAAGCAACTTTATTAAAATGCAATTCAAGCAAGATTAAAAATTTTATCAGGTACGCTTAGAAAACACAAAGGATAAGATTGTTTATGTTACCTAGAGATCTGGGTTCTGTACATTGCAGATGTTTTGGTAAGTTTTTGTTTGTTTGTTTGTTTGTTTGTTTTTGAAACCTTGATGTCTGCTAGCTGATGAGATTCTAGTGGAAGTGTGTTCCATGCTCACAGTTCTTCAGTGACAAAGATTGCTGAAAAAAAATCCCTACACCCACCCTCATACCTTGTGGTTAAAAACAAAGGCAAAACCTGGCTTAGACCATGACCCCCCTGTGACTTTTAAACAGTTGTATAGCTGAGGACATAGGAACTCTCAATGGAGGGAACAGCAATAGGCAGGGGAATTTTTAAAATCAGTTTTGCCACTAGGAAAATCCTAACATGGCATGGCATCATGGTTGCTGACCTTCAAGTTCTTTTCCATCCCCCTTTTCTGTGATTTGAAGACTCACTCTCTAAGATCTATGAGCAGAAAAGAAGTTCCTACTAAAATACTTAATTTTAGAGACTTATGTTTTAAATTACCAAGAAGAAGTTATTACTTAATATGAAATTAACCTCCATTTTGCTATTGGAAAGGTTATAGCTTACCTTGTCTAAATGATACAGAAAAATCTAATTATTGGTTCTTTTTTGCCTCTGTCTCTCAAATGACTTTAATCTTCCTCTTTTTTAACTTCTTGTTCTGTTAGTTTAAGAGATTTCCTGAGGAGGGAGTAAAAAAACCACAGCATATAAAACCAAGCATTGTTTAAATATGCTCACTTTTCTGTTCTAATATAAGAATTGAAATGTATATCTTGAGACTGAATTCATTTATGTTAATGTGCTGTTGCTTTTTTTTTTTTTCCAAGGTGGAAATTTCTGTGTCTCTACGGGGACTGTTGTGAAAAAGCTGGGATTCTTTTTATTTCTCCAGGAGTAGCACCAGCCTTATAAGCCAAACTGGTTCATGACTGGAATTACTAGTCTGTCACTCATTCACTTATTATGTCTTTTTATTTGGCATTTGAATTTAAAATATCTAAATTACTCTGATCCCTTTACTCCTTTTATCACCTCATGGGTTAGATGGGTTTTTGCATCAACAGTTTTTTCTGGTGGCATACTCAGTCCTGCTCTGAAATTTATGCCCTAAACTGCTCTGACTGCCTTAGCGTACAAAATAGTGAGTAGGAGTTTGTCATACTGAATAAAGTTTTCTTGTTTTTAAACTTCCAGGGTGTGAAGATACTTGACATGATCTCCAAGCAAAGAATTACTAATGTGCCTCGAGATGACATAAGCCTTCGTCCAGATATGTATCCCTGCAGCCTTTGCTGGAAGGATAATTTAACACTGATTATTGGCTGGGGAAATTCAGTAAAGGTGCAATTACTCGTCTTTGTAATAAATGTTATCACAGACAAACAGAGGATTGTTTCTGAAAAGTAAAGACAATCGAAACAAATAGAATTTGGTTTGACCAGTGTTCAGAACTCTTGCTGCCTTAGAAATGTCATTGGACCGACCCTCAAGAGGAGGAGGAGTGATAGGCACCCAGCAGTCAGACAGATCTCTGTGTGAGAGCATGCAGTGAATGTAGTCCTCAGGGACATTTCACTCCTTGGAGAGATTTTGAAAGCTTTTAGTGTGCTGTTGAATTCATTTATTTGGATTGGCATTAAGGAAGAACAACTTACTATGAGGTATTTTTGGAGGGGATTGGTTTGGGGGCTGAGGAGGTTGCAGCTGCTAAAATGGCCACATGATTTTGGTCAACCATGGAAATGGGTGGGTGGAGGGACAGACTGCTTAGGGTTTTGTTATCTTTCAACAGGAAACTGGCATTTCAAACTTCTGTGGTGCAGACTGATTATCATTTGTTCAAACCAGCACATGACATGAGCTTGTTACAAGCCTGTTAGCTGCTTTCTAATAACATACTGCTGCATCACTGCACAGTAGGAAATTAAAAGTGCCTGATAGGAATAGATGGAAAGGGAGGGTGGAGTAAGGTAGGTGACATGTAAAAAGCTTTTGAGCATTAAGCTTAGAGTTTTATAAATGAGGAGGTTTGTCCTAAGTTTGGCATCTGTCTTCCCCCTTCTATTTGCCTGTGCTTCACATTTGGTTATTTGCATTTGTTTGTATGTACATACTCCCCTCTTGTAACTGCAAGGAGCAATGGCAAACTTACTGAATAAGAATCAGGTACCTTGAAAGGTAATGAGACACAAAGTGTGAGAAGACACCAAAACTAAACTCAAATAAATACTTCTGTGAAGAAACCATAGTAGGCATGTATTCACATTTCTTTTATGTGGTCCTCTTTTCTCCCAGCATATTTGTAAGGCTGTGAACTACAACCACTACTTTTCCATGTGGTTTTCTTTACTGATGCTTTACTGATCATTACTGTTTCACAACTTGTGTTTTTCAAAATAGAGAAATCCATGTTGGAGAATTCCCAGAAACTGCTTTTCTTATTGAGGCAAAGTTAGTGTCATTTTAGGAATTACAGCTTGCTTGTAACAATTCAAATCTCTTGTTTCCTAGATTTGCTCAGTAAAAGAACGGCATGCCAGTGAAATGCGTGACCTACCAAACCGCTATGTGGAAATAGGTATGGTTGTGAGATTTCACTCTTTCAAAAAGCTTTAAAAGTCTTCTACATTCTAGCCAGAACAAAACTGTTACACTTTGGAGGTTACATGTAGTTGAAACATAAATGTCTCCTCATTTTTAGTTGCTGAGGTTGTCATAATGCCCTCTTGCCTAGGTGTGAGGGCTTTTTCCTAGAGAACCTTAAGTTCTGTGATGATGTAATATCAGAGATTCTTGTGTGAACAGTGGATGCCTTAACTTTCCCTTCATACAGATTCCTTTAGAGAGCTTGACTTTTCGTCTTGGTTAAATGATTGATGGTCAGTGTAGCAGTAAAGAGAAAATAGATACTACTTTATTTGATTATATGTTGTTTGACTATACTACTCATAACATTTTTCTCTTTTTTTATTCCCCCATAAAAATATCTGGTGTAGTGCTAGGAAATTGATTTTAATTTATTTTTGTTTCCTTTCTTGGCTTCTGAATTTCATGTTTTCGTTTGCTTTCTTATTTTTCTAGCTAATCTGATGTGAATAAATTTTTATTGTTACTGATTATTGGAAAAGTTCTTGACAAAGTAAAGTGGAATTCAGAGAAAATTTGGAAGGGAAGTGGGGATGTAAACAAAAAGTCACAACTGTCCACAGAAGTGTCTGCTGGTGAAAAGAAGTATGTAGGAACAGATAGTGCTGGGAAGATAAACAGGCCCTCTGACTCTGCAGACCAGAGTGGGCAATAGTTTGTAGGCTTTGGTGCTCCCTTGACTGAAGTAACATGAGACTGTAGATAGCGTGTTCAAGCAAGATCCTGAATCATGTCAGTTTGGAATGGTATATGGCATATGTGTGCGTATGCTCTGTTTTCTGATTTCAGGAAAGGACTATTCTAAAATAGCTTCTGAAAATCAGCTAAGAGACTTGTTAAGTTCTGCAGGGAGTCTGAATACTGAGAGATGGTGGTGTGCCTGAGAATTAACTGAGACCTGAAAGCTATTTGTTGTTTAGGATTACATAGGGCAAACAGACTATTTAACTGCAGAATTCTAGGATATTCACAATAATATTATCAAGGAAAAGTTTGGTCATGAGTTTTAGCCTCAGATCTTGTATATAATATTTTCTTTACCTGTAAGTAGCTTTTAGAAAATAACTCAATGGGTTTGGTCACATACTGACAAGTGAACAGAGGTAACTTCTATTTCAGCTATAATGTGCTTATACAGATGGTGCTAGTTTTAGGTGACTGTCTATTGGAACTTGATTAAAAAACATAAAAAGTTGCCATTGGGCTATTTAGGTGCAGATATGAAGGATGAAGATTTATGTGGAAGTAACTTTTTGGCCTGCGATTTCCTCTGTAGTCTAGAGAACTGGTATTTTATCTCACTTAACCTGTTAATGATGTTCTTGAGATTTTATTTTCTGGTTTCAAGTCAAAGCACTGAAATTGCTCTGCTAAATGCCATCCACAGCACTGTAGAACTTGGGAGGGTTGGGACAGAAAAGAGAGAAACATTGTTTGTTCAAGTCTCAGTATAAATTAATAGTCTTTCATATAGTCACATTGAAAGTCTTCTTGACTACAGTATGTCATACCATAACATCTATTTCAATTTTATTTCATTGTTACTTTTTAAAGGTGTAGCTGGAAAGTCTTATGTCAGACCTGCAAACAGTATGGTTTTTTTTTGCAAGACCACTAATATCCAAAGTGAATGCATAAATTGATATACTTGCATAAAGTAAAGAATTTATACAAGGCATGAATATAATCATTCAATGCAAGGACAAGTGAGTATCTTTCAGATATTTTGACTCATGAGATCTTGTCAACAGACTTAAAAAAAGCAAAACCCTTAACACAGTGTTACTTTTGTCATGTTTAGTGGTGTGGTATTTTTTAAATTTTTTTCTCCCTGTTTTTACAATTTTTCACCTGGAAAGAAAACCAGAAGTGGAGCAGGAAGCTTCATAGTTGCTTCTTTGGTCATCAGGGTGATACATATGGAGCCTATGATAAAACAGTGTCCTGTCATGTGTCAACAGATTCAGGTTTATGCTGTTTTAAAGCCATTCTGAGGGCCCCTGAGTTGCATGGTGGTATCATAGAAAACTGTGATGGTATTAGTAGATAATAAATGTTTCTTCAGTACTTTGCAGCAAAGTGAATAAGGAAACAGTGTTTCCTGCATTGCAGTTTAGGTGCATAGGATCCTGTTTAATGAAGTACCTCCTCATCTTCTGTTTCTGTCTCAAGAATTAGTGATACTTACTCTAAGGTGGGAAATAATTTCAGTATCTGCTGTGATGCTAAACCCCATAACGTGTGAAAGTTACTGAACTGTTCTAGCTGTTTTATCTTAAAGAAGATAATGCTGTGATTATCTGTAAGAGAAAATAGATTAATTATACAGTTCTCATATACTGAGATCCATGTGACATTGCTAATTTAATTTACATCTTTCAGTATATTAGTGGTGCTTTTCTTCAGTAATCTTGCTATTGTTTTTCCTACAGTTCATTACCTCTGTGAGTCTTCATTCAGTGTCAAAGATAAACTCCAAGTGAGTGTTTGTATTTAGGTTTAAACATATGTTAGCTGAGCAGATCCTATAAGTTTAGCTCTGTCAGCAACTGCTGTGAAGTAGTGTATTGATTAGAAAGTATTGGTATTGAATTACAGGCTTAACATAGACTAAATGCCATTGTGATCCTTTTTAAAGAGTGCTTGACCTCTCTGCTCACTCCTGAAGCATGTACAAAAGCTGTAATGCTGCACAGCTTCTGGTCTGAACAGGGAACCCTTCCTCAACTGGAACCTATGAGAAAACTCATTGCTAAATAACTAATTACACTTTCCAGTTAATATAATGTCTTTTCAAAGGTAAATAGGTAATCTAGTCTTCCTTGGCCTTGTCAGAATTTTATATACTTTTATGGAAAAGTACTTTATCTCTGCCTCAAGTTACTCAGGTTGTTAATGATAGCAGAAAATAGAGATTAACACCAGAAGTATGTAGAAGACTTCAAGTTGATTAGAGAATTTCTATTCAATTTATTTTTGTCCAGATTTTATCTGAGGAATCTCAGCTTAATTCCAGGTACCAGCCAGGCAGCAATGTCTCTTGAATACTTGTCTCCCTTTGCATTCTACCAAATTTCCCACAAAGCAGATTTCTGATTTAAAAATTACATGTTTCAAGGCTATGCTTGTAACAACACATCTGTGTGTTTTAAAAGGGAGTTGCTTCACACCTGCATGGCAAGTTAGCATCATGCATTGAGATTGCACATTTCAATCTGTATGCATGAGAATATTTATTTTCTTGTTTGTAAAGTGAGATTAATGGGATCTAATGTGCCAACATATTTGTCTTTATGTGGACGGAATGTAAGGCTTAATTGATGAATGTGACGATCAGGAAATTTACTTCATAAGGTGATTTATGCAAATATTTTATTGAAGCAAGTCTGCTATACTCTGAGAAGCCAAAAAAAAAGAAGAAAAAACCCAAACCTAGTTATATAGTTGATTCTACTTAGAATTTTGTTCATCTGTTTTGCCACAAGCCAAACCTATAATTTAGAAATTGCTTCATAAAATGAGTCAAAATTCTTCAAGATTTTGACTTCTTTGTCATCAAACCTCAGAATCTCTAAGCCCCAAAATTCTTCAAGACTGCATATTTTTCCTGTTGGTTAGCAAGGTTTTCTTGGTTCAATGGAAAAAAAAAGTTTTTCAGAAAATCAGCTTTGTAGCTTAAGTGATACTTATGTGGGGCCTTTTCTTGTCCTCTAGCTGGAACTGAATTCACATACTGTCAGGAAAAAAAAAAGTTATACTTTACGTTAAGTGTAACTCCATGCACAAAATAATAGCTAATCAAATCATGCCATTTTGTATTCTGTTTTGGTTTGCATAAATTACTAGCTCACTAAAAACATCTGCAAAATTTGTATTCATTGTTATAAGTCACAGTGCACCATACCCTTAAGAGTTCTCAAGGTGGTATCTCCACCACTAGTGCTTTTAGGTGAAATCAGAGGTAAAACCCTCTGACTGTAACCAAAGTTTTACTCTTCAAAATCTGCTGTGTTAAAACAGGGGCTGCTTTTAGAGGTTTGACTAAACAATATAGGCTCCTTTTAGTTACAGTTTGTCACGTACGTGTGGATCTTTAAATTCCAGAAGAAGTGGCTTTATGCAGTTTAGGTAACTATTGTAGCATATATAGTTTCATTTCTGTATTTTGGTATATTTCATACATTTCATTTAATGAGCAACAAAAAAGATTTACAGGTTTCTTCATTTTGCTTCCAGGTAATTTATTTGACATCTGTACATAAATGGTGAACATGGAGTAGATCCACTGTCAGCCTATCTTCTATCTTCTCTTATGACAGGCATAAACATGTATGACACATGGCCATACCTCAGTCATTTCCATTTACTTCAATACTACATTTGTTTTAATTATTTTGGATCCTTTTCAAATTAACAACATTTCTGCATTGCCTTTTATGTTGGATTCTTTTCCACCTTGATCACAGCACACTGTCCAGAGAATAAGTCAATTTAACCTATTATTGTTCTGTGCAGCTGTTACTTCCATCTTCTTTTTTCAGTAGGACTTTTTTGATTAGCAGCATCAAAGGTTTTTATCAGGTCAAGAAGCACTGTCTATGCCAGTTATTCTTTGTTCAAGGCTGTAGCTGCAGAGCTAGAGCATTGTGTTTCAACAACACCTCTTGAGAAAGATGAGCTAAGAGAAAGCTGATAGTGAAACCAAGGAATCTATATTCTATTCAAAAACAAAACTTGAAGTGGTGATTTTTATTTGTTTATTTATGTTTTATTTATGTTTCACAGATCCGTACTTCTGCTTGATCTTAAATACACCATTACATTGGGTATTACAAGCATTTTCACTGACAAAAGGGACTTAAGTTCTAGTGTAAGACAAAGAAACACACATGGATTTTAAAGCTGTTTCTATAATCATTATAAATGATAATTCACCTTGCTGTTTTCCTCTTCAAATACAAACCACAGTATTTTTACATGCCTTTGAGAGCATTCTCCTGGCCCTTCCATAAAGCTGAATTTAAAGTTTCTTTGATAGTATTATGGATTTCACTTTGTTTTTTCTTTTCCATGTTTCTTCTCCTGCCTTCCATATTATTTTAAAACGCTAAATACTAAATTTTAAACTGAGAATAAGGTATGTAGTTGGTTTTGAACTGATTTGTTTAAAATCATTGCTGAGAGCAACATGTGACACAATCAATCTCATCAGTCTTGTTGGCTAGAACAAGATAATTATGTACATGGTTACACATGTGAACCTTTTCTCTGTGAATGGATTGAGTGCTCTACCCTTGTGCTGTAGTGTGGTCCTTCAGTGATGCCAAAGTGTCAACAGTTATTAAAAGAAAAACAGTGCTTGGTTATTCATAGAGAGACAGGTGTCAAATATATACTCTGTTTCATTGTATTTTTTTTCTCCTTTTGTGGGAGGACAATTATTTCTCCTGTTCCTTCTTATTATCTTAGCTAAAGAAAATCAGCTTTATTTTTAATGTCATTCTGCTGTATTTTCTGTTTGCCTCACTAGTAAATTTTAGTAAATATATATATATATATTAGTAGTGTAATATGCTAAACAGTAAGGAAGGAAACTTTTTGTTTCTTACTTATGCTTAGATTCTCCTAAAACCATGTTTTGGGAGAAAATAATGAATTATCTGATGTTTTTTTAAAAGCTTATAGTTGCAAGGCTTGCTAATGTAAGCACTTGGATGATTCGTGTTTTTGTCCCCATGAGAGAGGAGCTCACAAAAAGTGGTGCATTGTAAATCCAGCAGAATAAAAACAAAGAGCTGTTTCTGTGGCAGAGGTCTCATTTATTAAGTCTTCTTGTAAATACAGTTCAGCACTCTGTTTTTCTTTCTTGAAATAATCTCATGTAACTATCTTGATTTCAAGATCAATTTCAGAAAATTATGTTTTCAGTTTAATGAGCAAGAAAAGATACTATGAACTGTGTTTTCTTTGTAATGAGTGTATCGGTAAAATATTCTGTGATGTTTAAAGTGATGATAAATAAATAATGATCTTTGAGTTTTCCTGTATACCAATAGAAGTAGCAGGTGCAATTCTCTTATGGCCACATGAACATGCTGTGAATATGCAAACCAGTGAAGTTGTACTACTTACTGCTTGTTTTATTGAGTTTGATTTTTGTTTTGCTTCCTTTTTCAGTGTGATTACTGAAAATCAGACTGCACCTTCATTTCAGATGTTTCATCTCTAACATATCCTGGAGCACAAACATTTCTTTTTGGAAGATTTAATGTAATTTAATCTGTTAAATGTAGATCTTCATCTGATCCAACTGGGAAATCTCTGGGTTTGCTATATGTGTTGAGTCTTCAGCTCTCTGAAGTGGTGCTGTATGCTGTTGATTGTCTCTGAAAATCAGTGAGTTTTTCTTAGGTAGTAGTTCATACACGTTCATGTTTTTAAGTCTGTTTTTCTTTCCTGTATTTCAGTTTTCCAATTTGACACAGAATTCTACGTCAGTGGACTTGCACCTCTCTGTGACCAGCTTGTTATACTGTCATATGTAAAGGAGATCTCCGAAAAAACGGTAGTTTTTTTATCTCAGAGTTTCTTCACAACATTCATTTGGCCTGTGAGTTGGGCCTTAAACTAGTCATACAAATATGATTATCTGAGAAAAAATTTGTAGTCTGCTGGTAGTGAACAGTGCTTGAAATGTCTCTGATCCACAAAACAAGGTCAGTGGAGGTGAAGTTGAAAACTAATGTGCTTACCTTTCAGAAATCATGTTTGGGTTCCCTTTTTTCTTGTAGAATGCAGAGAAGGTCTCTAGCTAGTCCTTCCTGCTATTTCTTCCTTCCTTCCTTTCGTACGTGCACCCTCCCCCACCGCCCCCACCTCTTTTCTCTCATTTTCTCTCTTTCTTCCTGATGTTTCTGCACCAGAAGAAATAAAGAATCTTGTTTGGCCATAAGAGGAGCTTGCTGACACTGCATCTCAAAAGAAATGAGACTAGTGAAGTTGATCAACTCAATCATAAGAGTGACTGTGGGGTAGAATGAATGATTGCGAGTGAGTGGTGTCATTATCTCCTAGTTCTTCTAAGATCTTTAGTCGCGTGCACCCAGATCCATCTGTGGAGAGGTAGAAATTAGAATTCTTGTCAGCCATTTTTACTGTGCATGGACAAGTGTCTGTCTCCGACATTGATTTCATAGTGCCAAATAAAAGGCAGGGCAGTGGAGGAAATCCTTGAAGCTGCAGTGTGAGAATGGCAGATGCTCTTGATCATCTCTTTGATAAGCATGTCTGTGTTAGACAACCATCACCATAGTAACCTTAAGAAACTGGGTGCACAAGTTGCTAGGCAATGAAATGCTGTAGGCTCAAACAAATGCATGAGCGTTCTGAAATCATTGGGGTTAGCTTCTAGTTCTACTTCAGGATGTCAGATTATTATTTTTTTTATTTATATTAAGGAGAAAAATAATGTCACAGCAATGTTTCCCAAAAGAGACAGCACAGTGTGGGAGAGTCGGTGAAAGACAAGAAAGCAGACAAATGAGATAAGAAAGGGGGAAGAAGTGGTGAGTTGAAATGCTAGGGAGCAAGGAAATTGGGATGCCACTGTTAATGAAAAAGTAGTACAGGAAAGGAGCTAGTGTAAACGAGGTAGTGACTGCTAAAGGTTAAAGTCATTTTAATTGCTTCAGGAAAGAAAGATGAAAAGGGAATTTCAGGTGATACAATGGTAATTGAACATAGGAAAAAGTTTTTCTCATGTATTTGCTTTTAATTAGCCCTTTAAACAAACTCCAAATGCTGGACTTCACTAACTTCTCAGTTCTCTGGGTAGCTGTAGAAGGAACAGAAGTACAATTGTCCCTGATGGTGCATCAGTGTCCTGTTGTGATGGGAACTCCTTTGTTAGTGTCTTGGTTCACTTGTCTTTTTAGTGTGGAGCCCAAACTGCCTGAGCCTGCAGCAGAATTGCTGCTCACTACAAAAATGTCCTTTAGTTGCAAGGAACACTTGTCTTCCTACACTTGATTTCACAGCTTGCAAATGACATCTTCTTACTTATTGCAAATTAGGTCACAGTTGAAATTCCTTCGAAAGTTTTTTTTGTTTGGGTATTTTTGTCCTGGAACAGTTAAATTTAGAAAATACCCAAGTGGTGCTACTTCCAGCTGTTTAAATCTACTTTCTATATGTTCTTGCTCTTTTATTCTATATTTTGCTATAATTCACAGCCTGAAGTAGAAAATACAGGATTGTCTTGGACCTTGACTTAATTAAAAATGCAGCTAGTTGAAGATAGCAGTTTCACTTGGATAGAAGGTGAAAATCCATTATGTCATCTGACCATAACCACCTACATTGCATTTGAAAGTTCATTTTACTCTAAGTTCATCAGAACAGCAAAGTTTTTATATTATTCTCAGATTAATTTTTCCTTGCTGCTGCTGGCTGCCTAAAATCAAACACCAGCTTCAAAAAATAAATAAAATAATTATTTTAATACCAGAATACCAAGCTCATAAAGCTCTTCAGGGCATGAGCCTAGCTGGGTATGGGTTCTAGATTGTTCTGTTGCTTGTTGAATGAAGCAATTGATAGTCATCTGTGATAGCCCTGCAAACTTCTGTGACCAAGAGCAGAAAAGTAGTGGGCAAACTCAGGGGTAGGATTGGACCTATGTCGTATCTATACCTCCTCCTCCAGACTGATCTCCTTCAAGGAAAGCAAAGAGTAACTTGGATTACTTTGAGTAATTTTCCTTTGAATTCAGATGCAATTACTCTGTGGAGTATTTGCAAGTATTTGCAGCAAGTAGCCAGTGATTTGCAGCTGAGTAGCCAGTGCAAAATACTGCACGTTTGTGAATGTTTGCAGCTATTGAATTTCAGCCTTGTTTGTAGATGACCACCAGTTGGTATTGCTAAGGTAAATAATATAGGAGGTGACTAAGGTGTCATTTTTCTAGGAAGTGGAGTGTTGTGCAAGGCCTAGACTCGATATTGTACAACCCCTGCCTGAGTCCTGTGAAGAGATCTCTTCTGATGCACTAACAGTACGAGGATTTCAGGAAAATGAATGTCGTGATTATCATTTGGGTAGGTGTTCTCAGTATTGTTTTGGTTTGTTTTCATACCTTGCTTTAAAAAAGATTTGAGTGTACTTAGCCTCCTTTTTCATTTGTATGTCATCTTTTTGTCATCGCCTTGAATAGCTGTAACTGCTTATGACACTGAAGTGGAGAGTGGAAATCCACAAGAACCAGTCATATGAAAGAAAACAAATGTGTGTATTTAAGCATCATGATTTTTAATGCCAGCTATTTAATGCCAGACATACTGGAGAAGGCAGAAGTATATACCTCATGTAATGTTCAGTATTGTCAAAGGCAATATCTTTGAAGGAAATTTATTGAACATATGATCCATAGGAGCTCTTTTTACACAAAGGGCTTCAGGAATAATGAAATGAGTGGCACAATGTCTGGAAAAGATGCTTTGGAGGGAATGATTGAATAAGTATAATTTCAAAAGTAAGATGTACATGGGTCAACTTAAAAGGGGCCCACTGATATTTAGCTTCTCTGTACTGACAAAGCTTCCAGTTATATTACAGACCTCAAATGGTAAAGTGGAATTAATAGGAGCTGGATTTTGTCAAGCTTCACCTAGAAGATAGGTTTAGTTATGTAACAGGAAGGGACATTAAGCCCTGGCACAATATATGCCACCCTTTAAAGATGGAATAGTTTTCTTATCTATATGTTGTAGCTCAGAAAAATGCATGGCAAAGCTGATGCACAATTCTTGGTGAAGATTCTGTAGCCTGTGTTATACAGAAGCATTTCTTCTGGCTTTTAAAATCCATTAATTTGAATTTTAAGTATCTCCTCTGGCAGCATGCTTCAAATCATAGGCTTGGCAAACCTCTTTGTGTATGTCTATGCCCTTAAGCCACTAGAAATATAGTATATCTCCTCCTGACCTCAAAAACATCGCTGCTATCAGTAGAATTGGGGTTTCTTTATACATCTTCCAAAGCAGAACATTGATGTCCACAGCTGTACTTTTGTGCTTTATGAATATTCTAGTTTACCTGAAAAATCTAAATGTTATGTATGGTTTTAAAACAAGCATTATTTTGTGAATTGCTTATCATTTCAGGAGTGTATTTGTCTGTGTTTATAGAAACTGATCTGGACAGCGAATGGTTTTCTATACCTACAAAGTATTCCTGTTTCTTCATGGTTCTGTCCAAATGATAACTATTCAGAGCAGTCATCTTCTGCATTTGATTTGACCTTTTAGTACTTTGTCTTTGAGTTTACTCAAAAACAAAGGCTTATGGTGTAAGAAAATGCATTATACAGATAACGTTAACTTGCAGCATTGTAAATGCATTGCTGCAATGATGTTCTGTATCCCCAGGGGTTATAGCATCTATCATTTATGCTTTTGATGGCCTTGACCTTGATGCGAAGGATAAGTTTATTGCAGGCTGTGTAGTGTAATAGTCCTCTAAAAGTATAATAATGGGTTCTAAACCATCATAAAGTTTACGCTTAGTGGATGAATCAGAATTTGCAATAAGTTGTAGTAGTTTTTTAAATATATTTTGCTATTTAAACCAGTTTTAATTTATTCGGGAATATAGCATCCAAACTAGTGTGTCCTGCAGGAGTAGCCTTGCTGTCTTCCTCATTGTAAATTTCCCTTAAGGGTATGCTAAAAAGAAGAATTTTACTTAAAATATAATAATAATAATAAAGCTGTGTATGCATTTGCAGAGTATTCAGAAGGTGAATCACTTTTTTATATCATCAGCCCAAGAGATGTGGTTGTGGCCAAAGAGCGGGACCAAGATGATCACATTGACTGGCTTCTTGAAAAGAAGAAATACGAAGTAATTTTTACATCATTCTTTCCTTCAGACTTTCCTTGTTTGGAAATTGGAGTAGGATGATGGACTTTGCTAGGTCATTTGGACCATTCCTGTTTCTATAGTCATTGACTAAATGCTTGTAAAGGATGGGAGTTAACTATACATTACTCCATCTCTAACAGAGTTAGTCTCACTACTGAAACAACTAATCAGAATTTCACCCAAGTGAGGTAGCTGAATTAGATGCTGAAAGTACTGCTCTCATCATCAGTTATGAAATGTATTAGCTGACACTGAAAATTATTAAAGCTGGGTTTTGGCTTTAGAACTGCAGAAGAGTTAACTAATGAGCTGCGCTTTTAAAAGTAAAATACTATGGTCTTAAATTGTGCCTACACATGCTCAAAGTAGTGTTGCTCACAATAAAGCTGTTCCAATATTAAAATACAAGGGTATACAGCTCTCTTGGAAAAAAACCAACTCACCATTTGGTTGCATAAATACTGGTGTTTCAGTATGTGTATCTAAACACCTAAAGCAATAATAAGTTCTTTCATACCATATGAACATGCACACAGTGGTCTGAATTCTAATATCCTGCATTTATTGACTTAGAACATTTGTTATGATGCATAAAGTTAACTTGCAAATTCTAATTTATGTTTGTTCTGTGCCCATTAAAAGAAAAAAAATAGTGGAAAAGCCATTCAGCTTGTATTGCTTTTGCTAATATAATCATGATATTTCTCATGCAGTTTTGTTTAAATCCTTGTAGATGCTTTTGCATTGGAATAGCAAACTTGTATGATGAGTGCAGTTTTGCAATAAATGTAAATCACAGCATTTGGTCCCTGAAGACTCCAGTAATTTGCAAGTGACAGCTGTGTATGTGCCTTTATGAAAGCCATTCAAGTTAGTAGACAAGCCTGTTATGATATATCTTAAAGGTTTCGTTTTTATTTGTAAAAGTGCCAGCTTTTTTTCTATAAGTTCAAAAAAGTAGAAGAAGAACAGCAAATGACACTTAAATATAAATCATTCTGACTGAAGAAGACATTTGGGATGAGGAACTGGAAGGTAGCTTTCCCCCATTTGCCCCTTTTCCTGTTGATTTTTTTCACAGGTTTTGGTAGTGAAGAGGTCTCTTTTGAAAGTGATCAAATGTGATTGCATTGTGTGTTTTGTTGTGATTTGATCTTAATATAATAATGTGGAGTGAACCCAGATGGAAACAAAAGTAGTTTGCTCTTTGCTTGACTGCATTTGTTTGAGTATGAATTCAAAGCTGTTCATCCAACCATGGCATTAAAAATTCTGGTGTTTCCAACACCCTACTCCAAAAAACAGTTGATTTATACAGTTCTAAAGCTTTCTGTATTGAAAGATTTGACTGGTATCTCTGTTTTCTCCTTTTTGAATATAGGAAGCTTTGATGGCAGCTGAGATCAGTCAGAAAACCATAAAAAAGCACAAGATTTTGGTACGTCCCAAAACTTCTATTCAAAATAAAGTATCTTCTTTCTTTTAGAATGCTGTGAGATGCAACAAATACATTCCCTGTTTTTTATAACACTAGGCAATAACTGTTAGGCATACTCCAACTGGCATCCAATTTCTTGGTTTCAGCTTCAGAACAGGAGTGTTAGTCCATGAAACATGAAAGGATCTACATTTTATGAAGGTGCTATTGGCATCAAAAGGAAGAGAATTCCATTTCTCTGATTGCTGATGGGGGTTTTTGTTTGCTTTTACTTCTCTAATAAATTCACTGTGGTTTGAAGTAACACACAGTATTTCACTATTAGAGATTGCAGGCAGGAGTGACAAATTTCTCCTTAACTTATACCTCATAAATGTGACAGGATTTTGTAAAAAGTTTAAGAGATACTCCTTTTCTCACACATTTATTTCCTATGTTTATAGTCCCTTTCACAGAGCACAAAGGGTATCAATGTTTAGAACAAAAGGGGAAATGATGTAATAGACACAAAATTGTCACTAATTTTAGCTTTTGTTTGTTTGCTTTTGTTTAAATTCACTAATACTGATGTTGCTTTTAATTGGAATCTGTACAAAGTGTTCAAGATCTGTTTAATTTTTTGCCAGATTACTCGTATTATAAGCATGCTGTATATCAGTATGTCTTAAAAACTTTTATTCTTGTGTAGTCCAGAAGTTGAATCAAGATTTAAATGGCATGCCATTACCTATCACAGAGTTTGCATTTAACAAAACTATTCTGTGACCCTTGCAAAAGATGTAAAGAATTGTTAAAGGGGGTCCTGGCAATGCATTAGGAGAAAAAAAAGAAAGCCAAACAGACAAACACCAAATTAAATAAAGAAACCTCACAGATTTTCTTTTGCTTTGTAGAAATCTGCTCTGCAATAAATGATTAAATTCAGTGAGATACAAGCAGTTTTTGAGAGTTTGGTCTCTAAAGCAAAAGCCAACAGAATGTGTTGAGGAAACAAAATGTTGACATGAAGCCCTAAGTGAAGGATTAGTGGTACATGGATTTGAAACAAGTCATGCTCTCACTGCCTGGTGACACCACACTCAGGATACCTGACACATCAGGTAGCCTTGGGGATTTTTTAGATGGAACTAATTATCACTGCTCCTCTGCACCTCTTGAGCAGAGCACAGAGATCCTAAAACAACCAGATCTACATCTCTTTTCCTTATATATCTTCTCTGCTCACTGGGAAGCTGGTCCACAGGAGAATTGAAGATTTCTGTCAGCCTCTTTCTTAGGAATGGTGAAGTTTAAAATATGAAGGTGGTTCCTATAGCATAATGAAATCCTAAACTACTGTGTGTGTGCATTTTTTTTCTAACTTCGTAGTAGATTGACCAGTTGAAGTTGTTGCATACCCCTATTCATATTCTGTTATGGTCAAAACTGTCCTTGATATTGATCAAAGAATTGTTATGCCTCGGAAGATGCAAATGTTTAAATTTTTTTAAAAATCAAGGACTTCTTTTTTATTGTACAGCTTTGTTTTTTTCTTTTCTCCTCTTTTTTTTCTTTCTAAAAACAATGTGCTTTTTTTAGTGATGGGATTCTTAAGTTAAGCAATGAATATGCTGTGTTGTGTCAAAATGGACATGAGTGTTGAGATTACATTAGGAGGCTCATTCCAAAATTTTAATATATATTAAATGCGTATCAGAAACATTTTACTACTTATTTGTATGATGAACTTTGAGAAAGAAAATTTGTATGTAATAACTAATAATCTTGTTAAGTTCTCAGTAATTCCTGCTCTTTATTGAGCAGCATTAGGATTTATATTCTCAACCAACTTTTTGCCCTCCTCTGCAAACTGTGTTGACAAAGAGCATGTCTTATACAATGACTGGTGGTTTTCTTTCTGAACTAATTCAAGCACAGCAAGATCAGCTATGCATTTCAAACAATCCTTAATAATTAGAGGTGGTAGTCTTCTCAGCATCAGTGAGGTTATGAGAATTATTTAAAAGAGCACCTTTAGTTGAAACTGTGAGCAGTCTATGCAATTATTTTGTATTGACTGTTCTGTGGGTCCTACTTGTAAAGGAGAATCAGGGGATGCACTTAGAGCCTTGAATTTCCAGCTGCATGCACTACTGTTACAGTAGTTCTGTACAGTAGTCAGGTAGTTCACTTCCAAACATTTATAACTAATTCTCTGGTTTTATTCCCTCTAGGACATTGGCTTAGCCTATATAAATCACCTGGTGGAGAAAGGAGAGTATGACCTGGCTGCTCGGTAATCTAGTATTAAAGATCTTCTTTGCTGGCTAAAGTGTGTCTGTGTGGCGGAAAAGCAAAAACAAATTATTGATTCTGAAGTATTTGCGCATGTTGATTTTCTGTGTGCTCTGGAATTTCTGAAGTTTCAAAACATAGAGGTGTATTGTAGTGCCATATATTTTTTTGCCTGTAGTGACCTAAAAATTTTAACTGGAATTCAGGCATATATTTTTGAAAGTAAGCCTTGATTTTTCAAAGTCACACTAGATTTTCAAAACTAAGGTTTTCTTTGGATTTTGATAAACTCAGTTTATTAGTGTGTCATTGCACATAAGACCATCAGAAAATAATTTGATTTTGCGTAGGTATAAATAATAATGTCAAATATGAGAATCTAAAGTAAGGATCAGAAATTATCCAAGGTTTTTGTTTTCATGTACATGTAAGCGTAAGCATATCTTTTTAAGTGTTCAATTTTTCTCAGCTGAGATTTAAAGGCTTCACTCATAAAGCTGACCAAGAGGGTGGCATCTCTGCCTATGGTGTGTGGATTTCAACTAGATGATGTTTAAGCTCTCTTCCAATCCAAACCATGCCATAATTCTATGAAAGCTAATATGGCCCTAATCACTAAGGGTGAATGCATAATAAGCAGTTAGTCATCTCGGATGCAACAAAATTTTAAGATTTGAAAGGAAGAGAACCTGGCATACTCTACTTAAAGTGGTGGTTGCCAAAATAAGTCACTTTTACAAGTGTCATGATAGGGAGAAGAGGAAAGGAATCCTTGCAGTAATGCTGTCACCTTTGTATTACTTTCTGTACCTACTTTTGTTCTCATCTCTTTCATTTTCCTTGCAGAAAGTGCCAGAAAATCCTTGGCAAAAACACAGAACTCTGGGAATTTGAAGTTTACAAGTTTAAAGAAATAGGTCAGCTTAAAGTAAGTTAATTTCTGTGTTTGCACTCAAGTAATTTGTATGTTGTACTTACTGTTTGTATCTAAACCATCACATTTAATGGGCCTGTTTTGGTATTGCTGCCCCAGATCTCTGTTTGTTTCTAGACAGCTGTCTTTCCGATTGATGTGTAAATTACTTAAAACAAGATTGGAGGCATAGTGCTACATATTTTACTTGTTGGCAGTCTCCAACGTGAAATACCCACCCCCAAAGCTTTTACTTGCTAAGATGCTCACAGTTAAACACATCTTTCCCATTTACTTTTCATTCGTTTCCAGTATGTCCTAAAAATACTCCCCCAGGTATTAAGGAAAATAGACTATGTGGGTGCCCATCATTCTGGCAAATCCAGGTCCATTGCAACTTTAAGTGCTAAGGAATTGCAAAGCAGCAGTGAAAACCTATGCTGTGTGCTAGAAATGGTGGTGGGAAAGAGGAGCAGTCTGCACTGCTTGGTGTTTTCCCTAGTTGCAGGCCAGCTACTACAACAGTACACATTTAATGTGAGAGTCTCAGTTAATAAATTGCATAGGACATAAAACCTAGTACTGTCACTGCTAAACCAATTGAAAACTTTATGCACACTCCCTTTGGTAACATGTGTACATTTACTTCTGAATTTTATGTCTTCCTATTCAAACTCAATGAGCCAAAAAGGAAATACTATTAAGATCTCACAGCATGCAGTCCCTTGCTGGTTTTGAGCTATTTAATTCTGTTCAAAGACCAAAAGTGTTTCAGCATTACGAATTTCAGAAATGTCTGACTTCGGTTTCAGGGCCACTCCAGCGCATAAACAGCCTTGCCTTTAATATGACTTCTTTGTGGTTTGATGCATTCTTTACTACTTTGGAAGATGAAATCCTATGTTTCTGTTTGTTTATTTCAGTCCAATAAAGGACTTGAATGCAGGTACATGTGATTTTTCTATACACTGCTTCTTCTTTTTGGTTTATTTTCTTTTTTAGCTGCAAATATCTGGAAGGATGTTTGTGTTGTCTCCACTTACGTCTTTCAGCAGACTGTAAAATACAAAAATATTTGCAGGTTTGTTGCAAAAACATCTCACCTCAATTACCGCTTTTCTAAACACTTGGCTGTTTTCAGCCTTTAGAATATCTCTTTTCTTCTTAGAGCCTAGGCCCAGGAACTCTCAGGAATACATGAGATGCAGTCCATTACATTATTCAGCTTTAAGTTGCAGTTCTAGAAAATGCCTGCCTTATTTCACTATTTCAGTTGCATATGACTTTTCCCAGATTTCTACAGATGTCTGAGTGTCATAAAGGATGAACTAAATTAAGCCAGATCTAAATGAAGGGGTCCTTGTAATGCTTGGGATCACTTGTGTGGATTTTTTACCTACTTACGCGATTAGCAGATATTAAACACCATATTGTAACTGGCCTATAATGGCTTTCAGCCCTGATTAGGAGACTATTGAGATGTGGAAATAGAGTTTATTTCAAAACAGAATTATCTTGGAAGAATTTGCACTGCTTATAAGTTGTTGCCTGAAATCTGATTTTTCAAATCTAGCATTATTTGCCTATAACTAAGGTGACAGTAAACTAAAATTGAAATTTCCTTCCTGCTCAGAGGAATTAGTGATACCCCAATGTCAAATTCTATGGGATGAGTGTTGTTGTTTGTGTGTGATTTTAGGGGGGTTTTGAGTGTTCTGTATTAAGCAGTCCTGTTTGGCTACCAAAGGTTGCATTTTGATATCTTGATGTCTCTCGTCTTCAATGAACATCCTCTATGAAACCTAGTTGTGTCGGTTTCAAGACTCTAGAGCCTTGCAGTGATCTGTTCCTCTCCTGCTCCAGCAGTGGTGGCTTGAGGAAGTTACATGCTTGTGCTGCCTTTTGCCCAGCTTGGAAATGAAACTCGGCATAATTTTAGTAAGGAGGTAATATAAAAGAGAATCGTTATTTGAAGGCCTTCAGGAGCAGTTATGGAAAGGTGTCCACAAAAGCCCACCGCTACAGGAATGAGTACACATTTATAGGTTTTAGGAAATTAGCATAATTGATAAAAAGCACCAATTAGGAGGACACGTGGTGATGCAATTCCACCCCAGGTCAAGCCTCTTCTCTGGAGCCCCTCCTTCAGCACTAGTTGTACTTTGTCCATGAGAATGTATCTCCAAGAGTTGTTCTTGGCCTTGGTTCCTAGGAAGAACCAAGAGGGCCTTGTACCTCCTGGGGCTTGGAGCTCTGGAATTTTTGTCTTTTTGCTTAAGGAAAGGCCATGGAAAAGTACTGGGAAAACTAATACAATAGGTGACAGATATACAATATACGTGTGAAGAATACAGAGAACATAGAAAAAAAGGCAAAACCCAAATGGCATCACTTGTGCTCAAGTCACTTCAGTATAAAATCTAATGTCTCAGCTCAAGCAGCTGAGGAAGGTGGATGGATTCAAAGGAAGGTTTCAAACTCTGTGAGTGCTGGCTGTTGTGGCATGAGGGATACCCTCCATTCTGTTTGCTGTGACAGCAGTGACTTACAGCAGTGGTGCAGGATGATCAGCTAGCAGCAGCATTGCTTTAACCAAAACACTGGATGGAAGACATTTGAAAGACTTCATTGGACTGTAGCAGACATAGCAGAGAGAAGCACTATCCTGACAGGTTCTTTCATCTCTTAGATAGTCTTTGAGGAATAAATAATTGTTGTTCTCACCTTATTGGTGAGATGGTTTAGGCTATCTCATGTCAACTTTTATATGGGTTTTCTTGTGTATACCTCATCCTCACATCTATTGATGAAAAGTCTGAAAACAGATCTTGAAAAGAAACAAGTGAAGAAAATATTTCTCTGTATTGTATCCCTTTTTTATTTAAAGTCACTCTACCACATAGTTTAAGAATTGGTACAAAGGCTGTCTGATTCAGAGGCTTTTTTGCCTGATCTTGTTCCCTAACTGCAGCTTAAAAATAAAATAGGAAGAGTTTGTGACCTCTAGCATGGGTCACCTTTGTGCCAAGGCTTAAAAATAACTTGTATGCTTCTTACATGTTTCCTGTATGCTTTCTTGAGCATGGTGGTCAAACTGCAGGAGGTGGCTGTGTTTTTTCTTCAAAACAATGGGACATGGGGCAGGAGACGTTTCCTGCACAAAGCAGCTGGGCTCACACACAAGGAAACTACACCTCTCCAGAGCTTGCTGTATGGCTAAACTGCAGCCAAGAGTTGCAACAGTCTGTTGAGGGAGGTTGTTCATTTAGGAGGTAACAGGAAGGTGGAAAGTGGGAGTGAAAACAGCCATTGGAGATTGTCTTCTGCCTTTGAGTCTACAGTTAATGTCTAGCTTGCTTTCTCCATGGTCAAAAGATACTTTTTAGTAAGGGGTCAGGAATATGATACCCCATAGCAGCCATCAAGACTGTACCCTGAGTTAACTGATAAATCCTGTGACAGCTGGTGGGAGCTGATGTTGGCAGCACTACATTTCAAAAACCGGCCAAGTCCAAACAGCACAGGGAGAGGAGAGGTCTAAAATGTAGTGAGATGGTTTTTTTCCTGCTTTGTTCGAGTAACTTCAGTAACAAAATGCTATTGTACTATGTGCCAATAGCGGGCAACGGGCAACATCTCTGAGTGTTTGGAGGAATTTCACTAGTGTTGGTGCCTCAGCTACAAACCCTACAATCCCCAGACAGCTAGCAGTGGGATTTATTTTGGCAGGTGGAAATAATCTTGGCCTCTAGTTGCATGGAATAGTAGTGCTAATTAGATTCTGTGCTGAAATTCCAGGGTATGAACTGATTTATTCTGGCAGCTTCTCATCTCTTGCTTGCTGGAATGCAATTCCTTAACACCTTCTATACAGTAATGGATCATATGCCTTCACCCTTTTCATGGAGAGACATATTTTCAAATTAATTTTCAATTGCATATGTAAAAATAGCCCTTCATAGAATGTGGTGACCCCAAAGTAAGTCATAATTCAAAATTACACATATATTTTGCTTGCGTGATCAGGTTCTGGTAGTGGGAGTACTACAGTAGTGGCTTCTGTGAGAAGCTGGCAGAAGCTTCCCCCATGTCCATCAGAGCCAATGTCAGCCAGCTCCAGGAGGGACCTACTGCTGGCTAAGATCAAGCCAATCAGGAATGATAGGAGCTCCTCTGCAATAACATTTAAAAACAAAGAAAAAAAGCTATTGCACAGTTGTGACTGTGACCAGAGAAGAACTGAGTGATAATATGAGAGAGGAAACAACTCTGCAGACACCAAGGTCAGTGGAGAAGGAGGCACCAGAGCTGAGATTCCTCTGCAGGCCATGGTGAAGACCATGAAGCAGCTGTGTCCCTGCAGCCCATGGAGGACAAAGGGGATGCAGAGATGTAGGAGCCCATGCTGGAGCGAACTGTGCCTGAAGGACTGCATCCAATGGAAGAGTGACCCAGACTGCAGCAGTTCATGGGGAACTGTTGCCCATGGGATGGATTCATGTTAAAGAAGTTTGTGAAGAGCTGTCTCCTGTGGGAGGGACCCCAGGCTGGAGAAGGGGAAGGACTCCTCTACCTGAGCAGCAAAAGAAGCAACGTGTGATGAGCTGACAATCATTCCCTGTCAATCAATCCCTATTCCCTGTCTCCCTGTGTTTCTGGGGTGAAAGAGGTAGAGTCCAGGAAGGAGGAATGGATGGGGGAAGGTGTGTTTGAGATTATTTCACTTCTTATTATCCTGCTCTGGTTTGGTTATTAATAAATTCAGTTACTATCCCAAATGTGAGTCTGTTTTGCTATTTGATGGTATTTGGTGAGTGATCCCTGGATCTTATCTTAACCCATGAGCCCTTTGTTATATTTTTTTCTCCTCTGTCCAGTTGTGGAGGGAAGTGAGAGAGTGGCTTTGTTGGATACCTGGTGGCCAGTCAGGGTCAATCCACTACAACACGTTTTTCAGCTAATGAATCCTTATGCCTTTTTAAAAGGCCAAGACTTAACAAAATGGATTTTGAAAACATTCTTGTTCTGAGGAGTCTTTTATGGGTTTTGTTTTCTAAATGACTACTGGTCTCTTAAGGACAATGGCTGATTCTCCTGCTCTAATTAGTATCTTGCCACCTGTCTCTCAAATGATAGTTCTTTCAAGCGAGTTACAAAATTCCAGTGTGTATAATCCTAAAGTAAATAATTTCTGGATGCTGCTTACAAGTATGAGTTTATAAGGTTTCCAGTAATTACCAGGGGCCATGTTTTGCGTATAGCCTTGTTCTTTTGTTTCACAACTTTTTTTTTTTCTATCAGTGTACATGTCATTCACCATCTGATACTCTTTTCTCTATGTTCCTATAGGCAATTAGTCGTTACTTGCCAAGACGAGATCCAGTTTTGAAACCTCTGATCTACGAAATGGTCCTACATGAATTTTTGGAAAGTGACTATGAGGTACTGCAGCCTGATGTGTCCACATCAATGTGTCCCATAGTTATTGCCAGCCAAATACCCTTTGCAGTAAAGAATTCTGGCAGCAAATTCTCTGATGTATTCAAGCAGATTATCAGTGGAGAGTTCCACAATAATGACAATATTTAAAAGTTGAATTTTAATTTTAAGAGAACAAATAGAATGTTCTTCAACGCATGCAAATACCGTGAGACTGATTATTTATTAGACTGTTATTTTTAGGTTTTTTAATGTAGCATGAGTGGTTGAGGTGGTGCACAAAGCCTACAGCACCTGAAAGAGACTCATCTTCATGAATCATAATAACATTGCCCTAAGAAGGAAAAATCTGTGTTCTGCACTGTACATGTCTGTGGGTACATGAAAGTTCCTTAAAGGTTAAGGACAGCAGATATCATCTCAGAGGTTTAGCTGAAGCTTTGATGTTTTGAAATGCTCCTTAGGCCATTCTTTCTATTTCTGTTACAATCTCTTCTACTTTTAGGGGTTTGCAACCCTAATAAAAGAGTGGCCTGGAGATCTGTACAACAACACAATCATAGTTCAAGCTGTAGTGGATCACCTGAAGAAAGATCCGCAGAACAGGACTTTGCTACAAACACTTGCAGAATTGTAAGTACAGTTTTAAATTCCTGTTACAAAAAGTACACTTAAAATAGTGTACTGCAGTTTATCCATATTTGTTTAGCTCTTGTAACAGAAATCTTCTTTGCTGCATCTACAGAGTGTTGGCTTTCTCTCCTCCACACTCTGCTGATTGCACAGCTTAGCAATTCTTTACCCTTCCTTGTAATGTTCACAACGAGTATGAAAGCAGTATGAAATTGTTAAGCATGAGATTGGATTTCCAGCTCCTCTTTCCAAAGTAAATAACTAACATTTCTCTTCATGCTGTCAGAGGAAACCTCTTTTCTGAAGTGTGCATTTCAGAATTATGCATGTAAAAATAAAATGGTGTGTGGTTTTGCCCAGTATTTAAGAAGTAATGTGTTTAGGTTTACTGCATGGATGGAAATATGTGACTGGAAAATGTGCCAAAATTGATCTGGTTCTTGGCCACTTCATACAGGGATAAAGCTCTTTGATTTTCTCAGCCTGATCACTGTTATTTTTTTTACTGCTTCTTTGAAGAAAGAAGAGTTACTGTCTATTGCTATGTTAAAATCTGCCCAAAAGTTTTAAGAGAACAATGGGTTTTAGCTTTGAAAAGTGTTCCAAGAATTGAAAGGCTAGCATTTTGTGTGTCTGTGAGTTGAAAATGGAGAATGAAAATGCAGAAAACTGCAGGTCTGAATACATATGAAGGCCAATATTAACAGAGGTGAAATTACTCTTGCCTGATGTTTATTTCCCTTTACAAAAATGAATCACAGGTCTGTTTAGATATTTATAAAATCAAGTAGTATCATAACGTTTTACATACTAGAGTATGTTTATATTTTCTCTCATATGTGATTTTCCTACACTTAAGTATGTAAAATTACATGTATTGTAATCCTGTTTTTATCAGGTACACTTACGATCAGCGCTACGGCAGAGCCCTAGAAATCTACCTAACTCTGAGGCACAAAGATGTCTTCCAGTTGATCCACAAGCACAATCTCTTCAGTTCTATCAGAGACAAAATTGTTCTGCTCATGGATTTTGATTCAGAGGTATACTGATCCTAATGATTTTATATTTACTTTCCTCTAGATACAATTTAACAGATTAAAAATAAATTATCTATAGATGATGTTGAGGCAGAGGGTGTGTTTGCTGCATCTGGATACATTCTGAGATAAGGAAGATTGTTTGCCTAGATTGCAAAATAATTGACCCAAGGATTATTTTTTTCCTTCATATTTCCATTTGTGTTTCCTTTCCATTTCCATTTGTCACTCTTAGTGAGAAAAGTGAGTGTCCGCATCATTTGAGAACATTGTTGTGGTTCTCAAGTCACAACATTGAATATCATTTCGCACAGAGTATAATTTCACCATGTTATTCTGTCTGTATTTTGAATCAAATAATGGTATTAATAAGCCAAAGAAAGGAGATAGTGAATTTATTTAAGCATATATTAAATGCACTTGCCATTTTCCTTTCATCACAGAAAATTAATCTGCTTCTGAAAGTATACAAGGTTATTAACCTAAATTCTGAAAATCAGGAAGTGTTCATTCCATGTTGAATTCTATCTTCTTTCTTTCCAGTTGGCTGTAAAACCCAAGCAAATTAATTTTGATGTGATCAGTGGGAAGATAACCAAGTAGATCTCTTTTTTCAGTGCAATAGTTGTTTAAGCACTGTAGCTAAAATATGGATCTCTGCTATTGGTGATCATCTTTACTATGCCCATTTTTCTCTATTCATGGAGAAATAATTTTTTTTTTAATCCAATAGAATAAGTCGTATCAGGAATCTGTGGTTTGGTATTTTTTGAAAGTGAAGCAAAAGCTTGCTCTTGAAAGAGGAAGCAGAACCTGAATCCTGGTGGCCACTTGGCTTACATGGTCTTGTCTGCTTGATTAATGGTATTTGTCTCCAGGTAGTTTGGAGGAATCCAGTTGTGAGGCAGGTTGAATTGTGTGTTTCTTACATAGTCATCACCCTGCAGTTCCCTTTGGAGATGGAACAAGTGGTATTTCTACATCATTTGGCAGTAGCTTTTTGTGACTGATGGTGATTCAGTGGGCATGCTTCACCTGCAGTGTAGGTGCACAGCATTTACTGCTATTAATGAGGGAACTTAAGAGAAGTATTCTGGAAGAATACTGTGATGCTGTGCTGTCAGGATGCTGATGTTATGTAAATTGCTCTCTGAATTTCTGTTGCTGAAAAGAGTAGGTCTGTCCATCTGATGCCCATCAGCGAATAAGCATAATACTATATAGAGTGTAAGAAAATATGTGTACCTGTTACCTACTTCAGTTCTCTTTCTCTGTTGTAGAAAGCGGTAGACATGCTTTTGGATAATGAAGATAAAATTTCTGTGAGTATAACAAGTTCATGGCATGGCAGTCCTTTTTCCAGTCTTGTAAATGTGAAGTTTATCAAAGGTTTGTTTTGTTTCAGATTGACAGAGTTGTTGAAGAATTAGAAAATAGGCCTGAGTTACAGCATGTGGTAAGTATTCCTGTATTCTGTTGATTTCAATTAGAGCTGAGTAAACTCTTGGCTGGACATACCTTTTACAGGTGTGTTTATCTTGTCAAAATGCACCTGACACTGAAATGTCATAAACCATCAGAGAAAAAGTGGCTACTTCTGCCAATTTCCTATTTAGCATGGCTATAGCCTCTTCACAGTAGTTAAATGATCTTAAAATGTGTACCTGTGAGAATTTGATAACATAATGCAGGCCTATTAACATCTCCTTACGACATTGTAGGCACTTGTCTTTTCTGGTCAATTACTTCTTGCTTTTATTCCTCCTTTTTCCCTACCCAAAAATGGGATTGGTTGGTGGGTGCAGCTCTAAAATACATTTTGCTGATCCATAGAGAAAGTGAATTGCTTGTTTTTCTGGAGCTGTAACTTCCATACACTATCAAATTGTTCTTGTTTGTACAGAATTACAGTATCACTGTAAGGCTGTGGCTCCACAATGCTATTCCAAAAGCTCCTCTTTGGTTTGAACATCCTGTCAGTGGAGTACCTAATATGTGACTGTGGGCTTGGGCTGTATTAGAGAGGGAAGTTTAACTTGCTGCTGGTTACAAATAGAGCTCAGGTGTTCATCTGGTGAAGAGGTGATTTATGGTTAGAGATCTGATTATGGGACACAGATCTATGAAAAGTGCAGTCCACAGCCCAAGAGCTTTGCAAAGTCAACTGTGACAGACTGTCAGTTTACACAAGGGATGCATACAGAGGAAAACAACGAAGATGGTCAATGATCTAGAGGAGAAGCCACACAAAGAGCAGCTGAGATCACTTGGTTTTGTTCAGCCTGGAGAAGAGGAGACTGAGGGAAATCCTTGTAGCTATTTACACCATCTTCACAAGGGAAGCATCAGCAGGCACTAATCTTTTCTCTGGTGACCTGTGACAGGACCCAGGGGAACAGCATGAAGCTGTGTCGGGGGAGGTTTAGGTTAGATATTAGGAAAAGTTTTGCCCACTACAGTGGCTGGGCACTGGAACAGGCTTCAACTCTGGGGAAGTGGTCACAGCATCAAGCCTATCTGAGTTCAAGAAGCATTCGGACAATGCTCTCAGGAACATGATGTGGTTCCTGGGGCTGTCCTGTGCAGGGCCAGAAGTTGGAATTTGATTATCTGTGTGGTTCCCTTCCAACTCAGGAGTTTCTATTATTCCATAATAATATTGAATACGTGAGTTTTAATATGATTCTTTTTTGATTCCTAGTATTTACACAAGCTTTTCAAAAGAGACCACCATAAAGGCCAACGATATCATGAGAAACAGATCAGCCTTTATGCTGAATATGATCGACCCAACTTACTTCCATTTCTCAGAGACAGTACACACTGCCCATTGGAGAAGGTAAGCCCCAAAAATCTAAGCATCGGTCCTTGATTTTTATCAAGGTCCTGGTCTGTAGCTTGTAATCTTGTGAATTTCAAGCTGTGTCTGGTACTGCCCTCTACTGCCAATATGAGGGATCCTTTAAGTTTGTGACCATCACCTGCAGTTTGGTTTGCAGAGCTGATGACACCTGAGACTTTCCTCTCTCAGCTCACAGGGCAGGAATTGATGGGTATTTGTAATGCAGAAGTTCTGACTACAGTTCTGACTACAGTTCTAGCTACAACATATCCACTCATCAGTGCTTAGCCTGACTGAACAGCAGGTTATGTGTTCAAGAAATTGACAATCATTTTGCCAAATCTAGGAGCTGTCAGTGTTAGATCTTGAAAAACCAGTAGCTGTAACTGTAGTTATTCTGTCTTTTTATTGTAAGGCCATAAGTTTCTGTTTAATAATATACACAATATACGTCACTGAACTAACAGGGCTAAAGTATTTTGTCTTTGTAATTTGGCTGATACACTTGGGGTTTTACAGAGTACCAGATTTCCATCTTCCAATATTTTTATATTTTTTTCTATTTTCCTTCCTTGCTCTTTCTTGTCAAATTACAAAATGCATAAAGGTAAGGCTAATCTTGAGTTGTTTCCCCTGCTTGAATTAATGTGAAACAAATGGAAATTCCAAGTTTTCCAGTTTAGATGGGTCAGTATTTTATTATTTGTATTTGTTGCTGTTAATGGCTGAGCAGAGCAGACCTTGTGAAAGCCTATCCATATGCAGGTATAATGATGACACAGTGGAGTAGTTTATACAGTGTAATATTGAATGTGGTATTTTACATGGTTAACATTCTAAAGAAAACTAGTACTGTTCCTGGTACCTCTCTTGTTTTGCATGCTTTTGTCTACTGGAAAATACTTTCTTAGATTATTATATGTTCTTAGATTGGAGACTTGGGATTTTTTGAAACCATTATCTGAAACTAGATTGACTAGTTTAGGCAGTGAGCCTGAGAGGTTTCCAGCCAGAAACTTTGGTCTACAATATTGACTTACTTGTTTTTAACTTTCTGATTATTAGTTTCTGCCTTATGTATTAGTCATGTGATCGTGGGTTTATGTATAAAACCTCACCTGCATTTTTTTTTTTAATTTTGAGGCAAATTAATTTTAGTTATTGCACATCCAGCCTCCTATCTGTAGTGGCAGGTGGTGCAGAAAAGTGCTGTGTGAAAATGATGCTCATTGCTGGCATTGCTTTGCTGAAGATATGGGCTATGAGCAAGAATAGGTCAGAGACCCATCAGCTTCTGGAAGGTGTGGTGCAGTAATCACCAAAGTCAAGAGAGAAGGATGTCAGAAAAAATGTGTAATTCTAGCCTTAATGGTAAAAATGTTAACATCTTTCAGTAAGAAGCTAAGGAAGAGACAAAAAGATAGTGTTAATTCTGTAATTATACTTCTTACCATGCTTGTTGTGTAATAACACTTCTCGTGACATACAGATCTTTGTTCTAAGAAATAGAAAAGGGGACTAAGAATTTCCCAGTTACCGCTATTTTCAGTTCCTGTTAAGCAAGTTCAACACGGTGTATAAATTGCAAAAAGAAATTTCTATTTGAAAAAATCCACTCTTATTGCTGTAATGAAATTACAAACTCATCAAGATGAAATAATTTGTGCTCTCTAGAAGTAAGCCACTTTTAGTCAAGTGCAGTTTAGCAAACATTTTAAAAATTAGCTGGAAGAGAAGTAGGAATGTTCCCTGTTTTCCCCTAGAGGGAGCATGACAGTCAGAAATAGCAGTATCTAGAACTACTTAATACCTGGTGCTTTGTAGTTTACCTCTTAAGTGGAGAGGAAAAAGAGGGCTGTCAGCTGTGTATATAACTTACTAGCATTATTCATATCTTCATTCATCTGAAGTATCTAGTTGGTAATTCACTTACCCCTAGCCCAAAATTGTCCATACCTCTATCTTCATAGTAACCCTTCTGAAAAAATGAGAATTTGAAGGAAAAGTAAATTCCTACCTTATCTTTGATTGTAGCTATACTTTAGGTATTTATTGATTTCCAAATGTGAAGGTTGGTGAACAGTTGTCTTTACAGGAATGCTATGAATCTTGAGTTTGCTTTCTGTTTCTGGAAACAGACATGGCATTGTTTATGGCATACCAGCCCAGCTGATTTCTTACTACAAACTCATTGGTAATCAGTTTGGTAGTTTTTATAATTGTGCTGGTTTCCAACTACACACAGATTCTGTAGCTGCTAAAGATACTTAGCCCTCAGGTCTTTAAACCCAATATACAAGAAATGCTTCCTCCATATTATTTCATATTTCTTATTTTGCATTGTCTTCTTGGTACAAAATTTGGAGGGCACTCTCTCTCCTGAAACCACTCTGGCCTGAGGAGATTTTCACCCTTGTCTTATTAATGAATGTCAAGCAGACTTCCATCACTAGAGAAGAGACTACACAAGTCCACCCACAGGAAGCAAGTCTTAATAGCAGATAACCTTAATGTTTTGTATTAACCAGCTTTTGACTTTTGGAGGCAGAATGAAGAAGTTGCCAGTGGAATTAAAGGCAGAGTTTGACATAGTCCAGACTGAAATACCTGTTCTGTTCCCAGATTTATTCAGTCTCAGAGAAGAATTTTAAAGAGAAGTCACAAAGTTTCTTAATTAAGGCCAGAGGACTTGGCAGTGCTTATTAAGGGAGCTTCATTCCTGTCAAGATGAATAATGTAACTTCATGGAAAAATCACTTCAAGCTTCTTGCAGCATTTGTGATCAATAAAATTTCATGTTGCATGGTTTCCTTATATTCTCTTCTCTCCCCTTACATTCAAGGCTCTTGAGATTTGCCAGCAGAGGAACTTTGTAGAAGAGACAGTCTATCTTCTGAGTAAGTAACTCAGAACAAATAACTGTGATCAATTATAACAATTTTAAACTTGTAATAAAGTTTATGGTGTGAAGCTATATTGTCTAATATCTAAACCAAATAACATGATTTAGAAAATAAAACAAAGCACTGGATGGATATGATGTCTTAACTTCATATATTGTGTTACTATGTTTTTTACTTGGTGTTCTTCTGGGGTTCTGGAAGTGTTGCAGAGGCTATGGGGAACAAGTTGGGTGGGGAGGTATTTCTGATACAATCTCCAAGAGAATAGCAATACTGTTGGTTTTGAAAAGAGAGGAGAAATTAAACAAATGCTTTATTCTGAATATATCTCAGGGGCTTGGTATTATTTTTTTCTGAGATTAAAGATTTGCTGATATTGCTTTCTATCTTTTTTTTTCCCATAAAATTAGTTGTAAATTAACTCCTTCAGCTGGCCAAGAAATCTGCCTCCAAATGAGAGGCATTGGAAGACTTATATGTATGTTTATGTATTAGTCATGAACAGAATAGTAAATATTTTTTTAAACAATCTCTGGTTCAGTAAGAAGAATATTTTGTGGACTGTTTCAGTCCAGTGGAGAGTATGATTTACTAATGAATTTATTTTAAAAATAGTTCATAATTTCTGCTACTTCTTCCTGTTTCCTCTTATTTTTCATGGGTGCAAGCTGCGTTATACTTAGTGGAAATTAAGAGGCCTCATGTGGGCCGTTGAAGCTGGTATTTCATGTTATAGTTTCCATCTGTGCACATACCCTCCCCCTCATGTTAGATGTTACTGCAGTTCAGAACCCCAGATATGACCCAACACATCCTTGAGAAAGCCTCCAGGTCCCAGTCCAGCAAACTGCTCCAAGCGCTTGTTCATATTACACTGATTTGCATTCCTACATCTGAATAGACTAGATTGGGTCTTAGTTGAATTAGTCTGAGTCAACTTCACACATACAAAATTCTCATTGAAAGAGCACTGAACACTGATGAGCAATTAGCATTTATATCTCTTATTTTTCCTTCCAGGCAGAATGGGTAATAGCCGCAGTGCCTTGAAGATGATAATGGAAGAATTGCAAGATGTAGATAAAGCTATTGAATTTGCCAAGGAACAAGACGATGGAGAACTTTGGGAAGATCTCATTTTATATTCTATTGACAAACCACGTAAGTGGGATAGTTTTTGGGAAGCTTGCATATGTGGAATGCTTTTGCAAGTAAAGGATTGAATTATTCGCTTGTATGTTAGAGAAGGTGTTTTTATATGGTCAGGGAGGTGTTCTAGTTTGTGAAGGACAACACAACTGTTCTACTGTGCATAAAAACTTGCAGTAAGGCAGTGTGAGGGTATGGTACACAATGAATACTTGGAGGCATAACATTGAATAAGCTCTGCATAATTATTTCCTTAATGACAAATCAAGGGGACAGTAGTGCTTTTAGTTTAGCAGAATGAGACTTCATTTTTAGACAGCCTCAAAAGACATTCTGCAGTTTTGATGAGGATTCTGCATACTATGTTATAACAACTGCTTCCCTTCAAGATTCTGAAAATGAAAAGCCTACACCTTTCTTCCCTCAGTAAATAACTAATTTTTTTTTCTGTTACGAAGGTAACATGGGTAACAATGAGTGCATTTTGCCTGTCATTCATTATATGAATAGCTACTCCAAGTTAAAAGGTTAGATGGGCTCAGAAACGTAAGCATCATTGTTTTCAAGGAGGCAGATTCAAAGAAGTTCAAATTACTAAGAAAACAGAGAATTTTCTTAACTATCTACTCCATTAGTTTTTGCAACCTCTTCTGGGGCTTTAAATCAAGACTGTGAAGTCTCTCTTGGGACCTCTTTTCTGGGGAATTGAGAGTCTTGTAGAATTCGTGTCAGAATATGTATCTTTTCATCTCTTGGTTGCTAATTTTGAAAGGAAGAAGTGACCAGAATCTGTTAAATCTCAAGAAGAATGGCATTCTCATACTTGAATGCATCACTAAAAGTGATGCTACAGTCAGTGACACCTTTATAGCAAAAGGGATTCAAAGCATACAGAATTCTCTCAGTAACTCTATGTAAGAGTTTCTGCCTGTATGCAGATATTCCTCAGTTGTGGGGGTTGAAGAAAAAACACAGCCTTGAGTCATCATTCTAGTGTGTTTTTTAGCCAGATGCTCTTCAAAGAGCAAAAGACTTCTATCATGTCACTCTCACCAATGTTTAGAAGCACATTGAGATCAGATTAGGTGCTTGAAAGTTTGTTTTAAAACCCTGGAATGGGGAATAGAATTACCACATAAAGTAATTATTAGTTAGTAGTTAAATGCTATTTGTTTGAGTGCTCTTTTTATTGAATCAAAATGCATTATTTACTTGTGAGTTTGTGCCGGAGACTCAGTTACCACTTTGCTGAATACGCTGGAAGTTCTCTAAGTTGCCAGACTGTATCTTCCTCACTTTCCCAAAGGCTTGTATTCAAGTAAATACAGCTGCAAGAAACATACAAAGACTGTAAAAGAGACTTAGTGTTTTCACTTAGTAGAGAACTGTCAAGTAGCTTGTCACCAAAGTATCCTTAATCAGATATTTTGCTGGATTGTTTTTCTTAATTTCTTTGCCTCTTGGTTTTCACAGCTTTTATTACTGGTTTGTTGAACAATATTGGAACCCATGTCGATCCTATTCTTTTGATCCACCGCATTAAGGAAGGCATGGAGATTCCTAATTTGAGAGACTCGCTAGTGAAAATTCTTCAGGATTACAACTTGCAGGTAGATGTTGCATTCTTCATGGGATACTAATTTTTAGAGAGACAGCAAACAGTCTTTGTCACTGAACAGCACAAGAAATTGCTGTCATGATTTGTTCAGTCATTGGTCGTGGACACTGTGGGCCAACACAAAACTATGACAGAAATAGTGGAAATTTGCCAAGGTTTCTTGATGTCTTCTAGCCCTTCTAAATATCTTCCATACTGTCATAAGCCTGGTGGGTAAGTTGAACTGGTAGTATCTTGAGCAATTCAGCCTATTTTTCTCTGCCCAACTGTCCAGTATTTGAAAGTTTCATGACCAGTTCTCATTCTGTTTCACATGAATGCAGAAGCAGAATGATGGCAGAATGCAACACGCCCTCACTGAAGCATTCATCAGGTGTTAGAGTCATATGTTAAGTGTCTTACTAACTGAAGGAAGATGAACTTTTAAAATCAAACTCATGTCGATGCAGAATCAGTTGGTTAGAGCATGATTCTAATAATGCCGAGTTTGTAGGTTCAATTCCTGTATTGTGGACCATTCACTTTAGAGTTGGACTCAATGCTGCTTCCAACTCAGAATATTCAGTGCCTGTGTTGCTGTTTATGCATTTTTAAAAATTGACTGTTCACTGGATTATGGAAGTTCTTACCCCAGCATAATTATACAGATATGTGCATTCCCCTGCATGGTTGGTTCTGACACGTGTTTGTAAGAACTTACAAGAAGCATACCTTTCAGTGTTCCCTGTAAGTAGCCAGCAAAGTATATTGCATTGCATATTTTAAATCTCCCTGCTACAAAAGGAGTCACAAACTTGAATTCTCTGTTATGTTGTTCTGCATTGCTGTACTGAAAAATACAGACGCCTCCAGTGTGACTATGCAGAGTCCAAGAAAACATAGCTCAGTAGGTAGCTGAAACTCTGATTTTCTGAGCCTCAAACATTTGCTCTCCATCTGCTATTAGTCTTTTTACATTTCGAGCAAATAGATGGACTCAATGGTTACGTTAAGGTCATGGCTGGTATCTTGCTAGGCCAACAAAAACCCATATTTCCGTTCAGTGCAGGGTTTAAGCCTTTCTAAGGCTTTTCCATTATTTTATTTTTATGTGAACTTCAGATTATTACTTCAGCTATTTCAAAGAAGCATTTTACATTTCTTCATCTCCCAACGCTTGTAAATAGACACATGTTTGCATATAATGCATGTTTTAACATTACTTCAGGTTTTGACTTCATCAGGTGAAGTACAAAGTTAGTATCCTTCCAAAATGGAGGATAGCTAAATACCATGCTGCATTTCAAAAGTTGCATGTTAATCTTGCTGCTGTCAGTATCAGCACTGATCCTCCTGTTCCCACATTCTCATGAAATCAAAATGTAATATTTGTTGTGTTTGCAGGTAGACTGAGAAAGTCTGTCTGAGACTGAGAAAGTATGCTGTAAGCATAGCTTCAGCGTTACTCATATACAGAGTACATTGCATGGCTTCAGACAAAGCTGATGACATCAATATGGTCATATTTTGGGGATGGAAATACAATCTTTTCTTCAAATACCTTTTAATAGAATTACTTTTGGATTAAAAGCATGTATTTAATCTTGAGAATGATATCTAAATAATTTACTGTTAGCATTAAAAATGATTCATGGATTTCATTGATTTTGAAGTAGAGTTGGGTAGCTCTAGGGCTAAAATTTAGATTTCTTAGGGATAATAGAAATTAGGGAAGCTTAATATAATTTGTGCTTGGCTTTCTTGTATGATAGAAAAAAGTATAGCCCCAAAAAAGGCAATATTTTGTTAGAGAAATGTAAGTTATAGTTTCAAATTAAGTCTGTTCCTTAAGTGTTACTGGCAACATGAAGTAGTTCATGAACAGATGGTATATCTACATTGAAATTTAGAGATCTTATTGCTGGTCTTGCACACTCACCAAAGTAGCCAATTTTGTAGAGGGACTCAAATTTTATAGAGGGACTGTTTTTGTTATTGCTGCCTCATTAGCTGTTTTAAAGCTAGTCTTCCATGTGTTTGTATGATGCCTGGTCATACCTCTGCACATTTGTTTAAGTTCATGCTGAGAAGTCACTGGCCTTTATTCTGGCCTGGCACAACTCTGGCTTTTGGTAGAAACCTCTTGATGTGTAGCATGGAGCATACCACACATTTTGAACTCAATCAGAAGTACAAATTTCATTGGCTAGGATTTTCTGTGTCTTCATCTTTTTGGATCTCAAGCTCCATATGCATATGTTTTATTGTTCTCATTTTCAAAGGCAAAAAGAATCTTGTGCTGGGATCCATGAAAGAGGAGCACAGGTGGAAAGAGAACCTGCTGCTTGACTTGCAAGTCACTGCCTAATACAAAAACTGTGCTGGTCTTTCCATAATGATGGCTTCCCAAAAGATGTTACTGCTGTACCATTATGTTGTTTAATTGTGGGCTCCTTTTGTAAGCCCTGATAAGATTTTTTTATGCCTATGTAAGCATGCAAATGCACATTTCCTATTAAGCTCTTGAGATTCCATACCAGTAAACTTTACTTAGGTGTGGTGTGAAATATGGGTAGGAGTTAAAAGCAGTGCCTTTGACAGACTTTGTCTTTTTGAGAACAGTCCTTTCCATCTCAGCAAAACCAAGTAAATCAAACTGAGTGGCTAGTAAAGTATGTGTGACTCACAGTATGCATCAGAGAATCCAACAAGAAAGTCTACTAATGCAAATTTTGTTGTAATTTCTTTTTAATATGGACTCTTCCTTGAATAATTTTTAATAATATTGGCAGATTGCAGACTGATGGCTTCATTTTTAAAAAATTGCCACCCACTAGATGAAATGCTGCCATTGCTCTATATGCTACTCTAAGCTCACCTCAGCTTTGTGGTTAACCTTTGAAATCTGATCACTACCAAACAACCAAGCATAGCACTAAAGCAAAATTAGTTATTGTTTTGGGCAAAAATAAAACAGAGATAATGTACGACTTTTTTCTGCTATTCTGCCATGAGCTTAAAACTGAGAACACGCCTAACTATTCCCCTAAGCAGGGAAATATTTAAGTGGGTTTTTTTAATTGGGATTAAACCTTGAAGTGATTTTTTATTGTTTTTTTTACCCATGAAGATAATTTATTTTGGTGTTTTGTCTTTGGCATTGTTTGAGTTAATGTATTAAAACCATAGTACATAATCAAATGACCCTGATTGTAATGATGAAAGTTTATTTACTGCTGAAATAATGCTGATTTTAGTGTTTATATACAGTAACATTCACAAACAACAAAGTTATGGAGACAAGGACAAAGTTATAGTTTTTGAATTTTAATAGGAGCATTTATCAAATAAAATGTAGTCTGAAGCTTTTTTACTGCTTCTGAAATTTACTTTGTTGCTGTCATAAATTTATAGATAAATTAGTCAGATTGTCTTAAAGAGAAACCTGCTTACTTATTAGAAATTACACCTTCCTAGTGCTTTTTTAAAGTGCAAATGAATCACCATTCTCCAGGTCTCTAAATCACTGTATCACACATCTCCCAAAGAAGGCTGATTGTAAAATCTCCTTATTTGTAGACTTGTGAGTTAATTATAAGCCTGTTGTGCTTTCCAAATGTATAAAATAGGTGTCTTTTCAGCTTTAGTTTGTATATGAATGAAATGTAGGAACTGCTTTTGGTATTGGAAGAGGCTTAAATACCTCCCTTGTTTTAGAAAGAAAGGCTTCATTTTTCACCCTATGTCATTTGTTAGAATAAGTCTTTGAAAGATGTTGGTTTTCTAAGACTCTTTTTCCCCTAGCTTTAAAATACAGAAGCAATTTGTTTAGATGTAGTACTTAGAGATTTTGTGGATTAGCATTTTACACATTGACTTACTAGTTTGCACTTTGAACCTGCAGGAACTCTGATGGGTAACAGACATTGATCCATTCACAGAATCACATCTCTCCATTCATAATAGAGTTTATGAACTAGCAGAACCCAATGATAATCCAATGAATGAATGCTTGAAACAGCACCTGGAAAAATTGTTAGGTTATATTCCTGAACATAACTAAAAATGCTGTTCTGACACATTGGAGTCACTAGAGGGCAGGTGGCAGCTTGCACAGGGGAACATGTGCCTTTTGGCTGTAAAGAGTAAAAATAATGTGTTTTTAATTGTGGCAGTGATGCTATTTGAAAGAATTTGGTTAACTGGCCTTGAGAGACTTGGACTTGTTTGTGGGTTAAGCTGAATCAAGGCCTGAATTAATTCCCGTAGTTTTGAGTATACCCTTTCAAATTAACTCCATACTACAGTGCTTTTCTTTAAAGATAATGTTAGGCTTGATTTACAAATGCAAATCAAGACTGTTTTAATCAAATATAATGGTTTATGCCTAATATCTTCCCTAATATAGCCAGAAAACTTTTTTTTTTGCAATAACAGTTTGTTTTTAGCAATTTTCATTAATTTAATGAAAGGCATTATTTCTGCCTAAAACTTCTTTCTGTAGGTGCATGATGCTGTCATGCTTGTGCTCACAATTACATTCTTTTAAAGGATAAATAAAATTCAGTTTCATCCTCAGTTCTGTTTCTTCTTAGAAAGTGGTTTCATCACAGATTTATGCCCAATGTCTGTTTTAACTAGTTCAACTTAACCTTAAGGTGCACAGTTACCTATTTCTCTCCCCTTTAATGAAGCTCCCTCTCTCTAGACTCAAATTCCCTTTGCTTTCTGTAACTCTTAAATTATTCATTTTTGAGGTCTTCAAATAAATTTCTACAGAAGTGTTGAGAATATATTACCTTGAGAATAGACATTTTACATTCTGCATTGCGATTTTTCCTTTTATGTAATAATGGCTGCCTACTGTATTCCATTTCTAGCAAAATAAGGTCTGACGGTCATTAAATGTGGTATGGAAAGATCTTAGAGCTGTTTAAACAATGGGAGAAAGTGCATATTTCTTAAAATATATGTTTTATCAGATATTTCTGTTACTCCTGGGCTTTAAGACATCAAACATTATTGAGGTTTTCCAGTGAGCTAGTGATGTCTGTTGTTTCCCTCTTCATTGTTCTTTCTTTTTAATGAATTTTTCTATTACCACACTGTATTTTAATTAAGAAATGCTGGGACACACTTCCATCTTCCCATTGTATCTTTGTTCTGCTTCTTTCATTTAACCTGGTCACAGCACCAAGGTTATCAGAGTTCAAGAAACATTTGGACAATGTTCAGAGTCACTTGGTGTGATTCTTGGTGCTGTCCTCTACAGCGCCAGAAGTTGCACTTGACACAGTCTCATTCAGCTGTCCTTGCTAAAAGTTTCATGTATTTTTTTCAAACCTAGCAACATTTTTCTTTATTTAGAACAAAATTTTACATTCTTTGTTGCCTTTGGATAAAGTTGGCAAGGGGAGGACATAGCCAGATTGTTCCTGAGATTATCAACAGATAAAAATTATTCATTTTCTAAGTGTTTGCCTTGTAGATCTGCATTTAGTTGCTGGTGCTCTGAAATGTTTTATAGCTCAATGTCTCCAATACTGGAAAAGTGTCATTCACCCATTGATATGCCCGATTTGAAATGTTCACAGTGTTACTCAGTGTTAATTTTTTAAAATGTACTTCAGATTTGCCGTCTTATCTGCGTATCATTCTCAGCAGTGTGTCCTTATTACTTCAGAATGTATATGTGAAAGCGTGGAGATTTGGACAGTGTCCACCTGGTTGTAAAATCTGTTATTGTATTTCTTCTTAGGTATTTGTGTTATCTGTATTTTGCACTGTCTTAGAATGCTTGGTATCTCCTGTAATAAAAATTATCTGAAGAAAGAAATGAACATTGCTTCTTCATACCTGTATTTTAGTAGGGTCGGTCACATTATAATTAACTGTATCTTTGGGAAGCAATTTTCAAAGGAATTGCTGTCTTGGAAAACAAATTTCCAAACATCAGATGGGGAGGAGGAAGAAAAAATTCCAAAATACTTACTTGGGTTTGTCACCTTTCCATACTTGCTCCATTAAGTATTGTGAAATAAGGTTCTGTGTAATTGTTATGCCCTTGCTTCTTCTGTGTTTCAAAACCATTTCAGGCAATGGCATGTCAATCTAATGAAAAATACCATATAAGTCAAAAGAGAGCTGAGACTTTTGCTGAAGAGGAATGAACTAGGAACCTTTGGTTAGTTGCATGGACATTTAATACTGCTTATTAAATGACTCCTCAGCAGGATATATGTTTGAACAAAATGTATTTTTAATTGCAGTGTTCATGAAGGTTTTAAGATTATCAAATATCTTTTCTGAAGAAGACAGGAAAGATACAGGAAGAAGAATTTTTAAATGGTTTGGAAATTAATTCTGAGGGGCACTGTAAAAATTCCTCTCTGTTGTAATTTGTTAACACCATCTCATAGAAAGACGTTCATAATTATGATAATAGTATCTTTGTAAAGAATTCTATTTCTTGATGTTTGTTTTTGTTTTGTGAGGTTTTGGGGTTTTTTTGGTGGGCTTTTCATTGAGGTAGAGGTGTTGGCAACAAAAGGTTCCTCCTTTATAATACCTTGAAAAGTTTTAAACATTCCTTGCACTCACTTTGACAGCAAAAACAGAGTGGTGACTTGTCAAGATAGTTGATATGCCCATCTATTCAACAACCGCTGTCCTTTGTGTTCTTTGCACCAACAGATCTTGCTGCGGGAAGGTTGCAAAAAGATACTCGTTGCTGATTCTCTTTCTTTATTGAAGAAAATGCATCGAACTCAGATGAAGGGTGTTCTGGTGGATGGTGGGTACAGAGGAAACATGATGACTTTCAATATTTTAAAGACTATTTTATATCGATTGTTTATATATCTCCTGACTGTCTGCTTTGGAAGCTGCCCAAAAGCCTGCATTTTTTACCTTATCTTTAGAGTGTAGTGGGATACTAGATGCTTTTCCCCTTTGCAAAGGAACTACTTGTATCTTAAAAACTACAAGACCCATATGCAACTGTTTCTCTTGATCAATCTCTGCATAGCCAGTAATGTATTGTGTCCTGCAGTTTCTCTGTAATGGTGAAAATGCTGTTTAGTACCAACATAGACAGTCAGAAGGTAATAATCTGCAACCAAAGCAAAAGATACAGCAACATTTTCAGAAGCAGTTGAAAATATTTTGCAAGGTGCTAATGATGCATGTGAGCAGCACTGTAATTCATACCAGCTGAGTGTTAATAGCAAGAGACAAAAGCTGACAGGACAGAGTACCAGAGCTTCTGCTCCAAAATGCTGCAGAGTTAACAGCCACCTATCCCATGCTCCCTGTTTCAGTTTGCCTTTTGTCTCTTCAGCACTGATCCTAAACGGCCTCAATCCTGCAGTTCTACCATCATCAGATCTAAATATTTATCATGTTGTTATTAGAAGCGCTACTTCAGTATTGCTCTTCAATTTTTAATAGATTCTGTTAGGCATCTTAATTAAATGCTTTAGGACCAAGCTCCATTTATGTAATAGCAATATGTTCATGCCTGCTTTATAAAAAAGTAAATATGGAGTTTGTGAACAAAGCTTAATTTTCTTTTGTTTTGTTTTTCAGAGGAGAATATCTGTGAATCTTGTCTGTCTCCAATACTTCCTTCAGGTAGGATGCTTTTCTAGGAAAAAAAAAAAAAAAAGAGGTTGTAAATTTTTTTAGTATTATTTTAAGATAAATTGCTGTTTGCTTTTATTCATAAAAATGTGTCATCTCCTTTGGTGATTGCTGTATAAATTTCAATCTCCTATGCAAAACTTGCTTTGAATTCTGACATGGGAGTGGAGTCTAATTGAACATTTTTGTTGCAGTAAAACCAGATATTCTTTCTTATTCAACTTTGACTTCCTTATTTTCTGTTTTGAATACATGGAATTCAAGGCAACTTTTAATTCTGTCAACATACGTATTCTCAAAGATTATTAGAACCACAAACCTAAGCCACCAAATCTTGTCCACGTCTGTTGGATTATTCACACTGAACCTGTAGACTGTAAAATCTTATGGAATGTATTTTTGTTTGAATGGTGGGGAGTTCTTGGCTTCAGTCGTGGGTGCCACATTTGCAACATCTTAAAAGTGACTAGCTTTAGAACACCTTCTAAAGTTAGCTCTGAAAATAGAAATTCAGGATGTTATTTCAGAGATGTACATTCTTCAAGACAACTATGGTCCGGAAATATCAATGTAGTTTTTGGGTGTCTTAAAAAGAAGTAGTTTTACTAAGACAATATCTGTTGTGGCCTGTTAAAGTAAGAATATTTAAAGCATATGTACAGATACAAACATATTTGTTTGTTTTCTAGGTGTTAATAGCCTGATAGAATCACTTACAGTTTATCTGGTTTCTGCCATTTTTCACTTAAATAGATAAATAAAAACAACTATACTGGGATCATGTGCAGCAGTATACAGACAAAGAGAATCTGGCAGAGTTGAATGTGCTAGTGCTTTGAAGTGTGTGTGTTGAGAAAAAAAGAGCCAAAGTAGAATGCAAATGATGCTTGTGAGTGAGATGGTTATTCTTTAGATATGTTGTATTTAGGTTTCTCATTTGGCTAAATATTCATGCGGGAATGAAAACTCACATCATGCACCTAGGCAGCTTGTTGCCAAATTTTAGGATCATGGCGTGCAGTGCAGGCTCTAGAACTGCTCAGTGTTCTGGTTCTCTTCACACTAGTCTAAGTTTTTCTGCTAACTTTTCTTCAAAGCTGCTGCATTATTTGGTGGTAGTTTACTCTTCTCCCTGCCCAGATTTAGCATGTAGCATATATTGAGATGAAAAATTCCTGATAGGAAGGTATACAGTATCTAAGCCACAGAAAAATATTGTTTTGTAACTCCATCACTGGCACACCTTTCCTGAAACCATCATTCTTAATGGTTTCTATTAATGAGCCAGAATAATTTGGAAATTATTTTTAGAGATGTTACTTGAAGTTTCTCTGTGTATGACAGAATGTGGGCATATATTGCTGTAGCCACTAAATCATTTGTTTCATTGCCCTGTTGAAATTAATATATTTTTCTGTTTCCTAGATGCATCCAAGTCCTTCAGTGTGGTAGTGTTCCACTGCAGACACATGTTTCACAGAGAGTGCCTACCTGTATCTAACACAGTAAGGAAATAGCTTAATATGTCTGACACCTTGGCCAAAGATAAAGTGACACATTTTCTTTTGTCAGCTGTGGAGAAGGGCGTGGGTCTATGAGGAATTGTGTGATTATAGTAATAACTTGTGATGATACCACATAGTAGTTTGTGACAAGGAAAGTGAGTTTAAGGATACTGCAACTAAAGTTCATCCAATGTAGAAAGAAATCACTGCTGTTTGAACAGTATTTTATCACTTTCTGCAATGTGAATATGTAATGCAACTCTGAGACATACAGGGAATACAGTATGTCTAATTTTTTAATTCTTTTCCATTCCAGCTTTTACTTTAACTAAACATACTCAAAGATGAGAATAAAGGTATTTTCTCAAGTGAACCATATTAAATGATTCTGACCTGGAGGACAAAAATCAGTTATTTCAGAGTGAATATTTAAATATCTTTGTAATCATCCTTATGGTCAAAACATTTTTTTTCTGTGTAAGTTATTTGGGGGGGTTGGTTTGTTTGTTCAATTAACACAAAGCAAAAAATAACTTCTAGATATAACAGGGTTTAAATTTAGCAACGAAAGCATTCGAATGGTAACAAAATCATGTAGAAAATTAAATATAAGTCTTTAAGATTCTGTATCTATCTCTGAAAATTAACATGTAGTGAAAAAATAGCTTTAGTGAATCGCTTCATCTGTAAGTAAACAAAGTGCTTGTAGCCATATGATACACCATGGATACTTAAATATGTTAGGAAAAGCTGAATGTATTAGATCATTTGTACAAGAAAGTCCAACAACTAGTAAATATTTCTTCAATATTTACCACAAATTTTATTGTGAGAAATAATCTAAAATTTGTCTAGCATTCTCAATTTTCTGGGGCAGGTGACTGATTAGGTGGGATTATTAAATGTTACATAGATATTATATGATATATATTCATAGACAGTATGTATGAATACAGGGGTGTATGCATGTAACAGAGCCTAATTTCCCCTGTTACACTGTATTATGTGGCCTTAGGTTATCCGTCATGTTACTGATATTTGATTATCGATGACATACTAAAATGTAAATAGTGCATGCACAAAATGCACACAGAGCTAAACAGAGTAACAATAAACACATCTTTGATGTCAAATGCCAGTATTTGGGCCCTGATCTCAATTGTTGGAAATCTGTGGAGCACTACCCAAAGACAGAGCTGTGACTAAGGCATCCAGTGGTTATTGGAGCTGACCAAATGACTTAACTCTCATCTTTATATATGAAGATAATCAGTGATTCTTTTCACTGTGTACTTTTCATTTTTGGTGTGGAGGAAGTTTGACATTACTCTTCTGGTAGGTTGTGGTAATACCCTTGGAGTGAGAGGTGAGTTGTGCTGCCCTCTGACTCCAGAACAGCCTGCCTCACTATGTTTTTCTGTATTATCTTCCCTCACCTATCCATGACTATGTTGATTGGGAACAGTCTGGCTGTGAGCAGTAATGTTGAGAAGGGCATTAGCACTTTTCATTCATCTTCACACATTCTGCTGTGGCTAAATTCCTCTGAGAGATTTCCTGTTTTCTTTTTTCATTTAGGTATCTTCTGTCCAGTTCTGCAATATATGCAGTGCCAAACACAGGGGGCCAGGAAGTGCAGTCCTGGAGATGAAGAAATAGCAGTGGCTTAGTTCTCCATGTCGGTCAGTGACACCAAATCTGTTAGGACCATGCAGAGCCACTGTAATTTTCCATTTCTGTATATAATTTTGATTGTGATTTAAAAGTGGTTCCTGTTGTTTATCCTGTTTATTGAACATTTTGGGTAATAAGAAAATGTGAAAATCTTTTTCTGGTAAGTCTTTGTTATGCAATTCATATGTCATGGTTCCTTTGCTCAGCTTGTTACTTCATTCTGGAACAGAAAAAAAAAATAAAACTGGAAGAAAAAACCCATGTGATTTAGAGATTTGTGTTTGCTATGAGTTAATGTGCTTTACAGTTTGGAACCACATTGGGCTTATGGTTGGATATTGTAAAGAAAAATGTAATGCCATGAATTCGGCTCACCAGACTACTTCAGTCCTGATTTAGTCTATTAGGAACCTTTTTACTTTAAGACCTACAGGAGTCTGACTCGTTTCAGTGGAATTGCTTCAGAACTTGAAGTTGTGTGCCAACTCATATCTTCAGTTAACAAATTTGTTAACTGTGAATTCCATACATTGGCAATTTGCCTTGGTTACACATTCATAGTTCATTAGAAACTAGTTAATTTCTCAATTAATCTTCACAATACAGTAGTTTAAAGTGAGCTTTTCTCATGTTCAACTCATCCAGAAACTTTATTTTTAAAAAGTCAGCAGAAGGTCTTTATGTTATTTTATGTGTGGTTGAAATGCATGGTTTCATTTAAGTGCTAGGGAAAAAAAGTGTATCTGACTTTTCAAAGGTAAGATCTCTAGAAGTTTCTTCTGGCTTTAGCAATTTAACAGCTAACTTAAATAAATCAATTGGATGTTAACAAAACTATAGATTTCATTTGAACTGCATTCTGTTTTGTTGATCCAAAGGAAGTGATCTTTGAGAATGTCTTCACAGTAATGTAATCTGTTTATAATATATCATGATTAAATTCAATATAATCATCTTTTCCTTAAGAAAAGTAATCAGAACTCCCAAGCTATTTTTCTGCTTTTTAATAAATTGAGTTTGAAAGTAAAAATATATTGCTTTGCCATTAAATTGTACTGTTTGAACAGGCTAACATACTAACATACTAAGTTCTAAAACAATGGTATATACTGCAGTCTGTCTGTAAAACTGGAAAATACAGTACCTCTAATACAACACCTTCTTCTATAACTTATTCCCATGTAAGTACACCTTAAAATAATTTCTACTGTGGAAACTTGTGTTTCAAGTTTATGAATATTCATAATATTTTTTTAAAGTCCTCTGGGCAATTGGTCTAGGAATCTGAAGAATGATTTTTTGTTGTCCACTGTGCAGATCTGTATAATACTGGAATAAAAATTTATGTGTTTAGAAATGCTAGGATTCACTCTGCATGATTACATAGGCAAAACAATCGTTAAAAGAATAGATCTTCTCAAAACCATACTAATCTTTTGTGTCAACACAGTAGAGGAAAAAAATTAAAAATTGTGCAAATTATTAATGAACATAGATTAGGTGGAATAACAGAAAGGTAAGAAGTTTGTAGTGCAGAGAATAGTTTGCATACATCAAGCTTCACACATAAGTATACTGGCTTTGCAGTTGTTCATTTTCAGCAACTAGTACATGTTCTCAGGTATATTGTTCCTTTATGTATTCTTCACTACACTGATCACAAAAGGTGCTTTGATTCCTAGTAAATTAAATGTTCCAGTGACCTCAAGGGTTGTTTCACCATGATGTTTGAGTTATTGCATGCCATATCTGTAAAAGTTTAAAAACTTTTTTAAGCCCCTCTTCTTCAGTAGCTTTAAACAGCTTTTCTGTGTTCTATCCTAATAATGCAATAAGCTGTCAGCTTACAGGAGGAAAAAGTCAAACTGCTTCTATACCTGTATATGGAAAAGTGTCCTCTAAATTAGCGTTATATGATAATTTCAAGAAGGTATATTTTTTTACTTGAGCTTGGCCTTAAATTCCCTAAAGCATTTGAGCATTCTGTGACTCAGTTTGCTAGTCTGCCATCATCAGCAATCATACTGCATTATAGCCTGGCATATTCTTTGCATTATGCAAGTGATTTTAAATCACTGTATGAAAATCTAATCAAAATCTTCTCTAAGTCCAAAGCTTCTTTCATTTGGGCTTCAGGGACTACCCTTTTCATGTTCCTGAAGTCTAAATCTGCTCATTAAGATTCAGCAGGAAATGTACAGACTTGACTTTGATACACTCTTCTTCCTAAGAAGCCTTTACATAATAAAAAACGTCTGGTTTTAGAGTCTAAAATATTTATATATCCAAGAGCTTTTCTTCTGAAAAGAATTTTGCGTAAGAGATAGCTGTAAAGTTGCAGAGCCTATCAGAAAAGTACAGAGTAGCACTTAATCAGTTTCAACTGCACTCACTTCAGGTGCCGAAGTTCTTGTCCTTCTAAGGTAAACTTAAAATAAACTGAAAAGCTGTTTTTTCTCTGATACATCCAGTTCTGTGTGAGTTCTTGACAATAAAGGTAACTCAAAGGATTTGTGATGGATCAAGGAAGTATAAATTGGTTTGTCATATCAAAAGAGAGAAAACTATTTTGGCTTGTAAGCAGGACATCTCGTCCCCCCACAAGAACTTATGTTGTTAACCAGTCAGATAACTTAAACAGGACAAGCTTGTCTTGTAGAGAGTTATTTTCATGCCTTGGGGTTAATATTGGTCTCCCAACTACCAAAAAACATCTTGCTATTGAAGTGAGATCTAGCAAGATGGATTTCTGAATGACAGACACTCACTTTACAAACTACAAAAGCCACACCAAACTTTCATGAAGCAGAAATCTTCTATACATTTTCCTTGAAATGTATGGAACTTTCCCCATGAGTAGGGATGCCTGCTTTGCAGTTACTTTCCAGGGGTTAAGTGAGGGAATCTGTGTACATTACTGTCATTTCAGCGGTAAATTACATTTGACTCCTATCAATTCTTTTGGTAGCTTTACTATAGGTACCTTCATGTAGTGCAGCATTATATGTTATGCTCTAATCTACTAGTAGTTCTTTATTTTTATACTTTGTAGTAAGTAATTCTGATCAAGATCTTTATCTGTTATCTCTTATCTGTTTAATAAATAATTCATTTTTATAAATAGACCTTGATCTGCCATGCTTAGAACTTGCCAAAGTGATTTCTTAAATTTAAACTGTTGTCAAAATCTGAGCCTAAGGCAGGGCTTGTTTAAAGCTCCCACTCATCTTGTGACAGGCTAAAGTGAGTCTTCAGATGATTTTTCTCATCTGTCCTTGTTTTATAATTTTAAACCCCCAATGCTGTTTGATAGGCTTGGTGAAAATGTTGGGCTACACTGAAGATTTTGGGGGCCCAAGAGAGTGGGGAGCTAGAGGTGCCTGCTAAGCATGAGGCTATTTAGTCCTGCTGACAGCTCAGTTAAAATGGACAGCATCATGATAAAGATTGACTTCTGCAAAAGGAGGAATTAATTGTTCTACTGGATCAGCAATGTATTGAATCAACTGTGTCTGACAGTTGGGCAAAATTCTGCTGCCCACCATGACATGATTCAGTGGGTCAGTTAATACTTCAAGAAGTTGTTCTATAGACAAAGGTATGTTTTCTAAAGCTACAGTACAGGAAACCTGAACACATTGGGTATTGTGTGTTGGAAGATGAGTAAGTTCAGTTTCTGACACTGATCTTGCGTTACAGAACAAGAACAAAGACAAAATTAGTTGCTTCCCCATTTTTGGATGCATATCATATTCCATATGGTATCATATTCCATACATTTTGGCTGATAATTGGGTGGAGGTTGTCAGTATTCTGTATAGAGTGCACAGGTTGGTCTAGCAAATTTTCATCATAGGAAATGTAGTCACTTTCCATCTTAGGCTTAATGTTTATTCAGCTGGAGTCTTTTAAGCAAGCACTGTTCTATTTTTTGCTATTCAGTAGACTACCACAGTGGTTTTCTGCTTGCTGAGTAGAGTTCCTGACTGTAATTCAAGGGAGCTGGAATTGCAAATAATCTTTTGAATAAAAACGTCACAGTGGATTTCCTGCTTATGAAATGATGTGTGTCACTCTCATATTTTCTGAAAAATCCCCTTGCCCAGGATTTTCTCCTAGGAAGCTGAGAAGCCTCAGCTTCTCCTCTGTTTTGCTGCTTTGGAATGTGGTTTTGGAGATTGTTTCTCCAACATGTGAATTGTTTTAACTTAATGGCCAGTCACAGCCAGCTGTGTCGGACTCTGAGGAGTCAGTCACAAGTTTTCTTTATCATTCTTTCTAGCCTTCTGTCTCTATCCATTCTCTATCTTTAGTATAGTTTTATTATAGCAATTTTTAATAATATAATGTCATAATATAATAAATTAGCCTTCTAAGAATATAGAGTCAGATTCAATCATTCTTCCTCTGTCCAGGGACCCCAGAAACTACCACAGATGTGATTTAGCATTCAAGTACTGTATGTCTGCAGTCACCTTGGAAATACAGTGCCATCTCTGCAGGTTGGTTGCACTGGTCCTTGCCTATGCTATTTGACAGCAGTTTGGAAAACGACTAGCAGAAAAAATTCTTACCTAATGCTGAACAAGGGTGATTATCTGAATGAGGAAAAATCTCTCTGAGAAGCTAGTTTCCCATCTCGTGTTGTACAGTTCTGGCCTCTTATTCAGGCAGTATAACTTTTACCCCTGTTTGTAAATGCTAGACATAACATCAGGGTCTCTTCCTCTCTGGAAAGCTTCCCTCTCGAATGCACCTTTGCCAAATACTTGCTGTAAATCAACTGTTGTACTTTCAAAATAACTTAAACAAGACTAGTAAGAAAATAAGTACCTCATGTAGAGAATGACTCTATAATTATATACTTTTGGCACTGTCTACTTATTCTGCTGTGCCATGGAATATTAATTTACTTTTAGAATTAGAAATATCCATAGGTTATGTTTTTTCTGTTCTTCAAGACAGTGTGTGCTTTCTTTTACTGTAATCAAATATTAAATTCTACAGAAAATGAGACATCTGAAGTGTCTGAGGCATCAAATGTAGAAGAGAATAGTGTGTGAGAAGTTCTAAGAAAAGTTAATGAGTCATAGTGGGAATGACTAAATTTAGCCTTTAAAACCTTCCATAAATGGGAATAATAATAAGTTTTTGCAGTAGAGCAGGTCTTAGGGGTTCTGGTAAGTTCTGACTGCGTCATTCGCCCAGGAGTCTCTAATGTGAATGGACAAGGCTTGCAGTGGTATCTGCTCCTGGATTGTGCTTAGGTCCAGTCATGGTGCAGGAGTCAGAAATGTGCTGAGTGGAGGCTGATACCCCTCCAGCCTGAATGAGCTGCCAGAGATGGAGGTGTAGTAGTATGGTTAAGGGCTAGGAAGTGGCAGGAGCTGCAGAGGGCACTTGAATTGTTGGTAGGGTCTTTCTGCCCTTGCTTTTAGTCAGATCCCAGTAGAATTTAAATCCAGTAAGATTGAGAAGGTAATGATACCTTGGTGTCTGATAGCCGTAAAATCACATTTAGCAAAATGTCCGCTGGATGACATGTTCCAAATAATGTTCACGTAGGACACAAATTTATCTGTTTCTGGTGAGAACAATGGATGGGAGCCACACTAAACAAGTTGTGAATTTTTTAATAATCAGTTTAATGGAAATGTTCTTAAAAATGAGTGATTGTCTCACATTTTATCATGTTGTGCTTGCAATAACGTAGTAGCATGGGAAGGTGCAGATGACAACAGTGTTTTTATTGTGTAGGACCCATTCAGTAGCAGCTATTTTTGCATGTGCTGGCACAAGAAACACTGAAGCACTTTTCAGTGTGTCCAACTCTAGTGTGTCTCTATTGAGTCTTCATCTGGAATTTTTTCAAAATCATGAAGATGTTTAGTTAAGCAAAGCCAAAGCTGGGAAGCATTTTCCCTGCTTTTCCTTGAACATTTGAGCCAAGAATATATTTATGGCATAACTTAGTTCTATGCTGTGCAGCCTTTTATTCTCTCTGCAGTATCAAAAGACTTTCCAGTGATGTGCTAAGAGAAATATGTTCCATTTACATTATTTCCTAATCATTCTTTCTCTCTTTTCTCCTTCTCCCCTTCACCACTCACCACTCCCCTCTGAATATATGCATTGGAGTGGGTGCCTAATTTTGAATTGTGTAGTGATTTTCAGTCATTATCTGCAAACACGCTGTGCTGTGTATGTATTAAAGTATGTGCTTTGTATA